CCTCATCCGTATTAAGGAAGGTGAGGAGTGGAAGACCGCTTTTATCACGCCCACTGGCCACTATGAATATTTGGTGATGCCTTTTGGACTCTGCAACAGCCCCGCCGTCTTCCAGCGGTTCATTACAGATGTGCTGAGAGACATGTTGGGTCGCTGGGTCTTTGTGTATCTAGATGACATCCTCATCTACTCCCGCACGGCCGAAGAGCACATCCGTCATGTTCGAGCTGTTCTGTCCCGCCTCCTGGATCATGGACTTTACTGCAAACTGGAGAAGTGTGCGTTTCACCAGGAGTCCACCTCCTTCCTGGGTTTTACCATCTCCTCCCAGGGCCTGAAGATGGACCCCCAGAAGGTTCAGGCCGTAGCTCAGTGGCCTCTACCCACGACCCTGAAGCAGCTGCAAAGCTTCCTGGGTTTCTCGAACTTTTACCGGAGGTTTATACGCAACTTCAGTTCCCTCGCAGCACCACTGACCTCACTCACCAAAACCACCAATCAGCCTCACCCTTTTCGCCTTACTCCAGAGGCTGTCAGTGCTTTCCATGAGCTGGTCGGACGTTTCACTAAGGAACCCATCCTCCTCCACCCGGACCAGACCCGGCCCTTCGTCGTGGAGGTGGACGCCTCGGATGTAGGAGCGGGGGCCGTTCTCTCGCAACGGGGTCCAGACTCTAAGCTCCACCCATGTGCCTACTTCTCCCGGAAGTTTTCCCCCACACAGCAGAACTACGGGGTCGGCGACAGAGAGCTGCTGGCAATAAAGTGGGCGCTGGAGGAATGGAGGCAGTGGCTCCTGGGGACCACCGATCCCTTTCTGATCTGGACCGACCACCAGAATCTCATTCATCTACAGACTGCCCGCCAGCTCAACCCTCGTCAGGCTCGGTGGGCCCTCTTTTTCGAGCCGTACCACTTCCATATCGCCTACCGGCCCGGCTCCAAGAACCTCAAGGCGGACGCTCTCTCTCGGCGTTTCGCACCAGATGCCGGGCCCCCGGAGCCTCGGACCATTCTACCGGCTCAACGCTTCCTGGCCTCCCTCCAATGGCCGTTGGAGCAGTCCATACAGGCGGCACTTCCTGGCGATCCAGCGCCGCCGGAGACCCCACCGAACCGCCTCTACGTTCCCGCCTCCTGCCGGCAAGAGGCGCTCACGTGGGGGCACTGTTCACGGCTCGCGGGACATCAGGGGCAAGCCCGTACCCTCCAGTTCCTCCGTCGGGCTCTCTGGTGGCCGTCCATGAGGAGGGACGTCCGCGAGTTCACAGCTGCATGTGATGTGTGTGCTCGATCCAAGTCCTCCAACCGACCCGGCGCTGGAGAGTTGCAGCCTCTCCCTGTGCCCAAGCGGCCGTGGTCACACATCGGGCTGGACTTTGTCACGGGACTGCCGGCGGTCGACCACCTGGACACTATATTGACTATCACGGACCGTTTCTCCAAGGCCGTGCACTTAGTGGCCCTGGCCGGCCTCCCCACGGCCAAGAGAACGGCCGAACTGCTCCTGGAACAGGTGGTGCGGCTCCATGGTTTCCCTCAGGACGTGGTTTCCGACCGAGGACCCCAGTTCGTCTCACGCTTCTGGAAAGCGTTCTGTCGCCTGGTCGGTGCTTCCACCAGTCTGTCCTCTGGATACCATCCGCAGACAAACGGACAAACAGAGAGAGCTAACCAGCAGCTTGGACGCTACCTGCGCTGCTTCGCTTCGTCCCAGCCGACCACCTGGCCCCGCTTTCTCCTGTGGGCGGAGCTGTCACACAACCTCCAGACCTCCTCAGCCACGAGTCTGTCTCCCTTCGAGACCTGTTACGGTTATCAGCCACCTCTGTTTGATCATCAGGTGCCGGAGGTGGAGGTCCCTGCTGCCCAGACGCTGGTCCGCCGCTGTCGGCTCGCCTGGATCCGGGCCCGTGCGGCCATCACCCGGGCCAACACGGAGTATGCCCGTCAGCATCGCCGCCGCCACCGGCCTGGCCCCGTCTTCCGGTCTGGCGACCAGGTGTGGCTCTCCTCCGCTAACCTGAGGATGCCGGCTGGCTCCCGGAAGCTCACTCCTCGCTTCCTGGGTCCGTTCCCCGTCCTTAAGGTCATCAATCCTGTCACCTGCCGTCTGCGCCTCCCGGCTACTCTCCGGATCCACCCGGTCTTTCACGTCTCCCAGCTTAAGCCGGTGATCTGCTCTCCTCTCCACCCTCCACCGGTCCGGGTGCCTCCGCCCCGCGGTGTTGAGGCGGATCGCACCTACACGGTCCGCAGGATTCTGGACGCTCGCCGCCGGGGACGAGGTTGGCAGTACCTCGTGGATTGGGAGGGGTACGGGCCTGAGGAACGCTCTTGGGAGCCCACGAGCTCGTTTGTCGACCCTACCCTGCTGACTGACTTCTGGGCCCGCCGTCCTGGGACTTCGGGAGCCGTCCCTCGAGGGGGGGGTCCTGTCACGAACTCCTCCAGCTGACTGCATTCCATTCATTCCTGCCACCAACGTGGCGACTGACGTCATCACGCCGGCACTACTTAAGGAAGTGCCGGCGTTTCATTCATTGCTCAGTCATCGTTTCTCACCAGACTTTGTATCGAGTCTCCAGGCTTACCAGCCCTCAAAACACTCAGACTACACCTACAGGGGATAACCACGCCGGTTATCTCCGTCTCTCCGCGTCTGGGCAACAGAACTCTCAGTCACGCTTCAGATCTGCCAACGAACCTGACAGTATTCTGGGTAATTTTTGACCAAGGCTAGTGTATCCTTGCTCAGCTAGCTAAACAGCTAACAAATGGAGATCACACGCATAGGTCGAACATGAAAAATGGAACCGATTGGAACATGTCTTAGCGGCTCCCGACGACATATCTCCTAGGCAACCGGGGCGGGGCCAATACATCAAGGCAAGGTTCCTTGGCATTGAGAAACACCCAGTGTCTATGAAAAGAGACAGGAGGCAGATGTAGAGGTCTCTTTAGGAGTGACGAGGATGGATAGGATCAGGAATGAGTCCATCAGAGGGACAGCACAGGTTAGATGTTTTGGAGATGAAGTCAGAGTGAGACGCTGTGGACATGTCCAGAGGAGAGATGATGACATAGGTAGAAGGATGCTGAAGTTGGAGCCAGCAGACTAAAAGGGAAACCAAAAAGAAGATTTATTGATGCAGCGAAAGAGATCACAGCATTAGTTGGTGATGAGGGTAGAAGATGAAAAAGACAGAACTAAGTAGTTGCAGATGGTCTAAGGAGCTTTGAAAGAAAAGCATCTGGACTTCTTTGAGTTGCTTGAAGATGTTTCAAGCCGGTGTATCAGAGAAACTCAGGAGGGTTTTCTCCAAACACAAAATACCAGCGTACTTCAGACCCAGCAACACACTCAGACAGAAACTGGTTCACCCGAAAGACAAAACTCCTAAACACAAACTGAACAATGTGGTGTATGCTGTACAGTGCAGCAAGGAATGCCCAGACCTCTACATCGGAGAAACCAAACAGCCACTTCACAAGCGCATGGCACAACATAGAAGAGCCACCTCCATGGGACAGGACTCAGCAGTTCATTTGCATCTAAAGGACAAAGGTCACTCTTTCGAGGATGCCAACGTTCCCATTTTGGACAGAGAGGACAGATGGTTTGAAAGAGGAGTAAAGGAAGCCATTTATGTCCACTGTGAGCAACCATCTTTGAACAGAGGCGGTGGTTTACGACACCAACTGTCTGCCATCTTTAATCCAGTTTTGAGATCCCTTCCCAGATGCATCAACGCCCATGCATATCCTGGGCCATCTGACCTCAGGAATTCACATGATAGGGTGGGGCCAGGCTTCACAATGAGCTCACCCAAAACTCTGGCTGAATAGGACCCACACCCACCCTCACACCTGGGCTCATGTGTTTATGTAGAAGATCATCAGGGGGTCTTTTGTTCCCTCTTTGGGGGGAAACTCCCACTGGTTTTGAATCTGGGACTCTCCACCATTTGACCTTAGAACTGAAGAAGCCTCTCAGATGAGAGGTGAAACGTCTTCAAGCAACTCAAAGAAGTCCAGACGCTTTTCTTTCAAAGCTCCTTAGACTACAATGACCTGGATGACTGAGAACCTTGACAGACATAGATGCAGATGGTTTTGTCACGTTGTGGGCTGGAGGAGTTGGACCCAATGTGCAGATACTCAGAACGACACGAAGCAGGAGAGGATGTAAAAGAAAACATTCTTTATTAAGAATGATTTAGCCAAAAAACCTAGAACCTAAGAGGGCACAGAGCCAGAAACCTAGAGACCTGAGAGGAGGGGGAGAACAAACAACACTGACAAGGACAGTGGACCAACAACATATTGAGACACAGACAGGGTTTTATACACAGGGGCAGGATGATTGGGAGGTAAGCTGCAGGTGCGTGGGGAGAGAGAAACCTGGTGAAATCAATTTACTAATCAGGGAGAGGAAACTAAGCTGAGGAGGGGAAATAAAACATGACCTATGAATAATAACCAAACCTAAAGACTAGAAGAACAAGACAAATAACTAATGATTTAAAGAGGAAAGGAGAACTAATAAACCGGTGGGGAAGGACCTAGAAGAAAACCTGAACCTATCAAACTACAGGGAAAAATTAGCTAGATAATATAAATACAAGAAAATTAAAGAATAAGTGAACCTGGGAAACCTGGTGGGAGCTGGAGATAAGAAGGGCACAGGAAGCTTAGATACACATGAGGGGGATCCTAGAGGGACACCTGGAGGGGTTGGAGACCTAAAGGGGCACAGAAACCTAAGGGGAGAACCTGGAGTGGGGCTGGGGAACACAAGGAGGCACATGAGGAACACAAGGAGACACATAAGGGGAACCTAGAGGGGGGCTGGAGAATACATGAGGGGGGCGCAGGGCGCAGACCATGACAGGTTTACAGTGGCCATCCTTTAAGGGAAAAGCCCAAAGAGAAGACAACACATACGTCTGTGCTTGTTGTTTACTTTAGTATTGACCTGCCTTGTTTTGTGTTTGCAGGTGAGGATGATGAAGCTGAGCGTAACACTGTTCCCCTCACACCCCTCGCCAGCTTCTTCTCCGATGACGACTCCCTCAAACAGCAAAAGAAGAAGAAGCCCAAAAAGATGAAAGAGGAGAAAAATTCCAAAGTTAAGAAGAGGAAAAAAGAGGTAAGGTGCTGTTCACATTCAGCCAAGTCTTCCACCCCTTTAGACACAACAGTTTGTTGGGAATGTTGGCTGAAGCAGCGCACCTCTTTCTTTGTTTCCCACACTATCACTCTGTTGATGCTTTTAGCGAGTTGATTAAAGGTGTTTTCTCTGCTTTGGAGCTGCTGTGATGGAAATGAGAAGCAGTGGACTGTCCCAGGCCTTTGGGGAGGTTGGCCGCAGTGATGCTCTTATTTCCAGGGGAAGCTGCAGAATCCAAGTGCCCGTTTAGAGTGTGGATTTGTGTCTATGGTGCTGGTTCTTATGGCAAGAACTTTGGGCCACAGGCACTGTTTCAGCTCACCTTGCAGGAGGAATAAGAGGCCATTTCTCATTACGCGTACTCGTCTGAACTTGCGCTCACATCCTAACCCATACCCTAACCCTAACCCTTCATCAACAATGGCCCAAGTACTGTTCCAACCCTAACATGGCAAGTTCACTCAAAGTTCCCGGATGTGTTGTTGCTCCACCCATTGTATCAAGGATGCATCAATGCATTCTTCTGCACACTTCGGACAGCAAAGTATCCCATAATGCAATGCGTCACAAATCGATATAATCCAAACATCAGAGCAGAAAGCTCATAACTGAAATGTTTTATATCAGAAATACCAAACAATAATGTAAAGTTTCTGTTATTGTAAATAATTACGTGTAACATGGAGGAGCTGGCAAGAAGGAAGTCTTTGCCTCTCTACTAGACTGGTGCCCTCACAACCCTAGCCTGGATAAGTGGAAGAAAATGGATGGATGCAAGGATGGATGGAGAAATGGTTAGATGGAGGAAGGGATGGATCATAGATGGATGGATGGGTGGGTGGATGGATGGATGGAGAAATGGCTGGATGGATAATTGGAGGGAGGAAAGGATAGATCATGGATGGATGGATTGATGGATGGATAGATGGAGAAATGGATGGATGAATAATAGATGGATGAATGGATAGATGGAGGAAGGATGGATGGATAGTAGATGAATGACTGGATGGATGATAGATGGAGGAAGGATGGTTGGATGGATAGATGGAGGAAGGAATGGAAGAATGGATGGATCATAGATGGAAGGATGGATGAATGGATGGATGGATGGATGAATGGATAGATGGAGAAATGGATGGATGGATAATAGATGGCTGGATAGATGGATGGATGGATGGATGAATGGATGGATGGATAGATGGGGAAATGGATGGATAGATGGATAATAGATGGATGGATGAATTGATAGATGGAGGAAGGATGGATGGATAGTAGATGAATGGCTGGATGGATGATAGATGGAGGAATGGATGGTTGGATGGATAGATGGAGGAAGGAATGGAAGAATGGATGGATCATAGATGGATGGATGGATGGATGAATGGATAGATGGAGAACTGGCTGGATTGATAATAGATAGATAGATGGATGGAGGGACGGATGAAAGGACGGATGAATGGATAGATGGAGAAATGGATGGATGGATAATAGATAGATGGATGATAGATGGAGGAATGGATAAATGGATGGTTGGATGGATAGATGGAGGAGGGAATGGAGGGATGGATAGATCATATATGGATGGATGGAGGATTTTTAACATGTAATCTACAGTAATCAAGAGAACCATTGCAAATGTCTTATAACAGAGGGATGTAAAGACCCGGAACTCAATGACAGCGAACAATAGAAGCATCTTAATGTAGGAAACAACAGAAAGTTTGACCCTGCAGACAGATTCAGCAGGAATCCTGATTTGTCTTTCATACGTTTAAAAAAACAAATAGAGAACCAAAGTAACTGATGCAAGACTGCCATAAAGTACTAAAACCTAAATGTACCCTAATATAATCATGCCTACTGAATAAACAGAGACGTAACTTTGTTCCATAATGTAACTCAAGCTTTCAAAGCGTTTTCACCATCCTGCAGCCGTGTTTAAATATCAGGAGTTTTAAGGTGGAGTTTCTAACCAGGTCACTATGTCTGTCTCTGCTCTGGCTCTGAACCCAAACAGTCTTATTCCCAACAGTCAGTTGGTGAAAGGCAGGACCCCCCCCCCCCCCCCCAATACATTTGTATCTGCACGGTCACCAATGAAGCACAGATCCAAAAACACACGCACAGTTCCGTTTAGAATTAGCCTGACACTCGTGTTTTTGGATTGATTAAAGGCGTGGTGCCGGGAGTAAACCCACACACAGAAAGGCCACAGCTGAGGTCGGAACTGGAGAACGTCTTTCTGTGAGGTCAGATTCCTAAACACAACTGTGGTGATTAATGGTGAACAAGATCCATGAGGTTCATGAGAGCTGGAATCAAGTCATCACTGGATCGGATCGGATCTTATGTGACCGTCTCATGGAGTCATTTTTTGATCCGGTTTAATCTTCCGAGCATTGAGACTCGTAATCAAAGGAATTGTTTGTTGCTCCGATGTTTCCCCTCATGCCTTGGCAGTGGCTGTAATGGTGCCAGGATGTTCCCTACTGGTCAGGCTGCCACCTAACCCTGTGGCAAACACTGGGCTCTGTTGGCTCTCACTGACATAATAGGGGGGCGGGGGGACTCCCTCTGATTCTCCCTCAAACACAGACTCTGTTTTCCCTTTTTTCCTTGTCTCCCACATGCATCACCTCGGTTTGCCTTTGTTGTTACGCTCTTGTCTCTTTCGTCCCCTGCCCTACCTCCTGCTGCTGCTGTAATTCACTTCCAATTTCTCCCCAGAGGTCGCTGTCAGACAGGGTCCAAAAGTCAATTGGAGTCAGAGACAGTCAGCGGTGCATCCCGGTCCGAGGTCAAAGCTGCTAGCTGGAGGAACAATAGCAACACCATGTATGATCTCACTCTCCCATCTGCCTTTGGTAAAAAGCTGTAAGGGAACTTAAATGCTCTACAGGCTTAAGAAGCAGCATCTTGTCCGTTTAGGAAGCTGGGAGAAAGATGCTGCAGAGATAACTCGACTTTCCACTCTGGGAATGTGAGTCAACAGAGATCCGTGTCAGGATCAGGATTTCTAAAAGTACCATGACGGGTTTTCTGTGCCTTCTGCTTCCCTCATTGAGCTATGCTATATTTAATTGAATATCATCCTCATTCATTTGATATTTTCTGCTGAATCAATTTCCTTGGGGGAGAAACATTATGGGGAAGCCTTTAATTTGATTACCTTTTCAGTTCTTATCTGATTCTCCTCTCAGTGAAAGAGGCAGCCCCTTTGCTGTTGTGCAGAAGAATGGTTTTATCTCCAGTCTGGCTTTAATGTTGAACTCTGGGCCACAGGTTCAGCTTGTCCTTGTGGTTGCTCTCACAAATCTTCTTCTTTGCTTTTTCCTCCTCCACCTCCATCTCCATCCCATCCCCCACCCGCAATCTTCAATTTACTCTCCCTTTCTCTTGTGCTTATTCTTCTTATGCATAAATGAGATTTGTCTAGACGGGCGCTGGAGCACCGGCTTCACAACCACAGGCCTCTGCATAACAAGCTCGTTATGCAAACGTGTCTGATTGGATGGCGCCGTTCCATTGGCTGCCACTGTGATAGAGAGTGTGTGTGTGTGTGTGTGTGTGTGTGTGTGTGTGTGTGTGTGTGTGTGTGTGTGTGTGTGTGTGTGTGTGTGTGCATGTGTGCGTGTGTGTGTGTGTGTGTGTGAAGGTGTGGCGTGGATAGGCATGATAGGAAAAACAGAGAGTGAATGAGAAGAAAGAGAAAGGTAGAAGTTAAGAGACGGGCAGAAAATAAAGAGCTGATGAAGGGAGGGGGTGGCTTTGAGATTTGAAGGGGAGAAAAGATGAAGAAATAAGGAGGGGGGGGGGGTAAAAACTAGAAAGAGTGAGAGAGAGCCAGACACTGCTCCGATTTGGTCACCATGGAAACACAGCCAGGCTGCTGGTAGGGTTGGCGGGCGCTGCAGCAACGTGAGCCTCACCACTGCGCTTCAGAGCGAAACGCCTGCAAGTCTCTCTATGGAGCCACGCAGGCCTGCAGAGCAACAGGCAGCAGGCTGAGCACAAAGCCCCCGTGCACGCCTTTCACCCGTGCATCAGATACATACTTGTTTAAAAAACAAGTTCAAATTCAGGCATTGATCGATCTAAGCACCAATTTAAAGGCGTTTGAATGAAATATTCAAACTATCATTAAGACTAACATCTGCAACATCATTTTCCAGTTTTCACACACCTGGAAGAGCACAGCAGCAGCCCCTTTGAGCAACCCTCAGTGCATTTGTTCACATGCAGCACTCCTGATCACACAAACAACACCTGTTAACTGTTAAACCCATACAGCCGTGCAGATGTCCCATCTCTAAGTGTCGGGATGCAGCTTCAGCTGTGATTGGCTGCACTGAGTCAGGCTTTCTGGCTCCAGGTTTTTGTTTAGAGGCACTTTGTTAAAATCAAATTCATGAACCTAAACATCTTACGTGTTTACTGAGACTTGTAGCGTCAGTGAATCTGCTTTTTGAGGTCATTTTTCAGTGTTTTTGCAATTTTCCCACAGGTTGCTCAGCCTGACCTCACGGCTAACTCACTGGAACATCGACTTTTAGACAGCGTTCACTCACAGTTGGTCTTCACTGTTAATGATGAGCTTCAAACAGAAAGTGGTCTATTACCATTCCAAAGCCAATGAGCTGAAATAATTACTTCTTTAAGGTCACTGCTGATGTCTCCTCTCTTCAAATGTGTGTTTGTGCTCCAAACCAGCAAGCGAATACAGCTTTGACTTGGTGCCTATGTTCCTAGGGATGAGCAATATATCGGCAACAATATTGGTATCAGCCTAAAATTTCACATTGGTGCATTCGTATGTCTTACCTGCGGTTTAGCTCAAGTAAAGTCATATACAGTTAAGTTATACACACTTCTGTCTTCTACGTAATGAGGCATTTGAGGTAATTCCATCTTCTTATTGGGACTTATTTGTCCAATTGAAAACGCTTTCCTCCTTGTTTTTAAAACCCCAGGTAGGACTCCTCCCCAGAGTGGACAGCGACCTGGAGGGAATCTCGGAGGTGGAGGAGCAGCGGGAGCAGACAGAGATCGGCTCTGAGAGCGAGAGCAGCGCGTACGGACCCATCAAGAAGAAGAAAAAGAAACCCAAAGAGAAGAAAGAAAAGAAACCAAGGAAGAAGAAGAGGGACGAGGAGGATGATGATGATGATGATGATGATAGTAACATGAAAGTAGGTCTAGTTCATTTTTTAGGCTTGGGAACTAAAATGTGTTTTTTCTTCTTCTTCTTCCATGTGAATGAACCTCTTTGGGGATCCGTTTTAGTGGCCTGAGGATCAGGTCTCTGCTTTTTGCAGATGATGTGGTCCTGTTTGCTTCATCAGAACGTGATCTCTAGCTTCAGGAGCGGTTTGCAGCCGAGTGTGAAGCAGCTGGGATGAGAATTGGCTCCTCTAAATCCGAGATCATGGTCTTGAATCGTAAAAGCGTTGAAGGCCTTCTCCAGGCCAGGGACGAGGTCCATCTTCAAGTGCAGAAGTTAAAGTGTCTGAGGATGCCTCCTAGACCCACCCTGGTGAGGTTTTCTGGGCTTGTCCAACTGGGAGGAGTCCTAAAGGAAGACCCAGGACACGCTGGAGGGACTATGTCTCTCAGCTGGGCAGGGAGCACCTTGGGATTTCCTCAGAGGAGCTGGCCCAAGTGGCTGGGGAGAGGGAAGTCTGGGCCTCCCTGCTTAGGCTGCTGCCCTCGCGGCCTGGCCCTGGATAAGCGGATGAAAATGAATGGCTGGAAAAACTTGAAATGTTGTCTTTTGTTTGGTAAATCTCAAGCATAAATGGTTGGATTTGTACAAAAAGGTGAAACAGATCTCGATATAGAACAGCGTCCTCCTCCCTCTCTGCTGTGCTGTAGCTCCGAGCGAGTCTGTCCCACACAACCTAAGAACCGAGGCAGCTGGGACAGTGACAGTGATTATCTCCAGTTTGAGCCTCCTCCTGATTCCAGCTGGTTTTTTCAACCAGTCATTCTTACAAACTGAATCAACAGCGAGAAGCAGAAGAACGTGATTCATTATCAATTTTTTTCGGTCACATTTCAAATGTAACTTGGAAGATTTTTGGTTTTAATAGTATCACCGTGGTCTAGATTTAAATACACACTGCACACCCCAGCAGGATGAATCACGTCATCATATTTGTACATTTTCTTGGTTTAAACATGTTTTACTCCCGGAACAATCAGGACTAAATGTCTTTGTACCTCTTCACTTTACCTGAATAGTTTGCATTCATTCAGACTCACCGAACAGCAGCAGCAGCAGCAGCAAAGCCCTTCTCCAGTGGGCTTTCAAAATGAGGATCAGAGGTTTTAAAAAATGTCTTGTGTGCTGCGCAGCAGTGGCAAACTGCTTTTTGTGTTAGTATTCAGCTAGAGTTCATCCATTTACCATCCTAAAATTGTAAAAGAAAAATGGTAAAGGCTAAAAAATGACTTTTTGTTAGGGATGCACGACACACCGGCATGGATATCAGCATTGGTCTGATGAGTAAAACTGGGCCGATATTAACAACAGTTTGTGTATCTGTTTTAGAGGGTGATGATGTGTAAGGGTTTAGTCATGTGACAGTGATCGTTTTCGTCTCAGAAGCGTAAGTGTGTGTGGTGTGTGTGTGTGTGTGTGTGTGTAATAGCAATTATATATATATATATATATATATATATATATATATATATATATATATATACTTATACTTATACTTATACTTATAAGTAAGTATTGGTTATCAGCCATAACAGCGTTATTAATATCTGTATCGGCCCATAATTTCTTATCGGTGCATCCCTACTTTTTATCTGTTAATCACATTTTAATTTAATCTGCATTGCCCCTTGCTCTCACAGGAACCTAAATCATCCAGCCAGCTTATGCATGAATGGGGTCTTGAGGATGTCCAGTACGGTTTCACTGAGGATGACTACAAAACCATCACCAACTACAAGGCTTTCAGCCAGTTCCTCAGGTAAACATCCTGCCCTTTCTGCAGGATTGTAACAAAATAAACAGCTTTGTTTAGTTTAAATGTGAGGTTCTCTGAAAAATGTATAGATACTTGTTTTTTTTTTTTTTAATATTTTTTTGATTGGTCACTCTTGAGTTTATCATGCAGGCTGAATGTGAAAATAGTCTTCTGCCCGTTTTCTGCGTTAGCCACTGATAAAAAACTCTTGGGTCAGAGAAGTCCACACAGATCTACGTCACACTTTAAATTTTTATTCATGGACTCGCCCCTCCTGGCTCGTGACGAAGAAGGATGCTGTTGATTTAGCGTCCAGGAGAAAGCAGAGCGTGTCTTGGCTAGTAGTAGCTAACTGTTAGCATTAGCAACTCAACAACATGGCAGAATATCTTCAGGCTTGAGTTATTTGTAGGGATGAAACATCAACATTGCAGAGCGAACAGTCAGTGGCAAGGGCGTAGATTTGGCATGGACAGAGGTGATTTGTCCCCACTAATGTCCAGCGATGACCAAATAGTACCCACCAATAATTTGACCGCCTCCACTAAAAAACAACAAGCCATTCAATGTCTCATTACCCTAGAGATGCAGAAAGGGTTAAATGACGTTCTCTCCTCATATGGCCTGTGTGACTGGCTGCTCATGCTGTCACGGTAGACTCAAGAGAGACAAACTACGTCAGTTGTTAGCAGCACCAAAGCTCGAAGGAAAATGTTCCAGTCGTATGCAAGACTCCTGTGTTTGCCACGTGACACACACGAGGCCGAAAGTGAGTGAGTGTAACCGAGGGTCCTGAGAGGATAGGCTTACAAGTCCCCACCAACATCAACAGCAAATCTGCGCTAATGGTCACTGGTAAAGTTGTGTTACTGTTAGCCAATCAAACGTGAGATGTATGAGTAAGACTCTAACTACTCCACTACTCAGGCTAACTTTTACTTCATAAAACTGGAGCACCAGAGTTTTTTTTTCCAAACAGAACAACCGTTGATTGATATTTGGGGCGGATGAACTGTTTGCGCCATCACCCATATTTTTCTAAGGAGCTGAATTGAAGCCCAGTGGGCGGTTCCCATCACCGCCATCTTGGTTGTGTCACGTGACTCGTCACTCCCTGCAAATGCAAAAATAAAGCTGGAAGTTGGATCGTGAGGGTGGGGGCACATGATGACACCCATTAAACTCTGAGCAAATGTTGTTGCGAGCTAACTGAAGCTAATGGAGATTGGCAGGTGCTTTTAACAAGAAAACTGCAGTTGAGCGACTCTGCTAACCTCTGCCTTCTAGGCTATAATACCTTTATTGTGAGGCCAAGGCTGAGGCCTTCCCTGGAGCAAGCAGGGGTGCAAGCCGCTAGCGCTAATGACTCATCTGCTACCTTTAATGACATCTAAACAGATTGAGTTACCAAAAATTCACCTCCATTAGAGTTATTATGATGGTAAACTTGACCTATTAAACCTGAAATATTTTTGTACCAGGTTATAAACATGTTAATCTCTTCTGAAATCTGCATTTTTACTATGGAAGTCGATGGGAACTTGCTTCTTTCTGGATCCAGCCCCTAGCGGATGAGGGGGAAACTTTGTAACCTCCTCATTGGCTCCACTTTTGGCAGACAAAGTTTCCTCCTTGGGAATGACTCACATGGCATTCATTCATTCATTCATTCATCCTAGAGACCACCAGCCTAGAAATCTAGACAGTAGCAGAAGCAAAATTATTTATTTCTGCATATCAGTCTAGCCACGCTCCATTGGAACCTTAGCAGGCCCAAACGGTCCTGTTCCTTGCCAATCACAGTGCAATATTGGTTTGGTGGGCCAATCACAGTGGCCTGGTGGGCTGGATGTTACTGCAACTGAGTGAAACTAAGGTGGTGACAGCTTGTTTGAAACGGGTTTGGCATCACCTTTGGACTATTTAGACTTGGGGTTTTCTTTGAGTCAAGAGTAGCTAGAGGTACTTACGTTCTTTATTTAGAAAAAGGATGCATTTGCAAATTCGTTGATGATGAATGGCAGATTGCCTCATTGACTGACATCTGTAGCAGTGAGTACATCACATTGTCCATTGCTTTGATTGGTCCCAGCGCTGTCCAATAGCGTGCAAAGACAGTTTGAAAGACAACCGTAGAACCCACCCCGCGACCGAGATTGCGGCCAGACTATATACTCACATATATACAATGGCTTGCCAGGCTAAGAGATCATTTATTTATTGAAATAAATGTCAAATTTAAAATTTTGTTCTCAGTCGAGATTCTTCCAACACTCCTCGGTGAGAGTAGAGTGTGCTGTAACGAGCTAACGCTGCTCTTTCTGTCTGCATTAGAAAGCTCGGTTGGTATAAAGAGTCTGTCTCACCTGGGGCCGTCTTGCTCGGATGAGCCTCTGCTCCGACAAAGTGGAGCATGAGCTCCTGCGGCGCCTCCTGTGTGCAGTCAGCTGCTCGCTGGATGTCTGTGACAGCCGGGAGGCTCAGGGACTCGGCGCTCTGACCCACTATCTTTCACAGGCGAGCGTGCCAAACCTCAAGCTGTTGCCTGACAAATCTCAAACATGACATAGTTACAGCAAAGCAAAGGAGCACAAAACTTAAGGGGCAGTGGAGTGTCAACAAATAGAGACCCAGTCTCCCTCCGGTGCTGATTGGAGGGTAAATTACACCAGCAGAAATGAATTGTGACATAATAAAGCTGCTGCTCTTGTCTCCTCTCCCTGTGGTCACACTCAGGCCTCTCATTGCCAAGAAGAATCCGAAGATTCCCATGTCAAAGATGATGACGGTGTTAGGGGCCAAGTGGCGTGAGTTCAGTGCCAACAACCCATTCAAAGGCGCATCTGCCACTGCTGTGGCTGCTGCTGTGGCTGCCGCCGTGGAAACGGTCACTGTAGCTCAGCCAGCATCTGTGAGCAGTGGCCAGCTGAGCATTCAGCAAGGGCCAATCAAAAAAGCCAAAACCAAAGAGGGAAAAGGTGAGTCCTGTTCAACCGTGGCACCATTTTTATTGCTGTTTTAGGGATATTAGCATGGATTCTTCCTGGGCTTGTCTGATGTTTGTGTCTCAGGACCAGGAGTTAGAAAGAAAAGCAAGAGTGCAAAAGAAGCAAAGAAGAAACCCAAGCCGAAGAAAACTAAATCAAAGTCAGGTCAAAGTGGGAAGAAGAAGAAAGCGTCCTCCGTATGTATTTTAAATACTTTCAGCCTCTCAACGATCACCATTTCACACTTACTATTCTGACTGGGAGGCTTCATTATGTGAGTTTTCTGTTTTGCTCCAAGCTCCTGAGTCTGTGTGTTTGATTTTTCCAGAGTGAGGAGGACTTCCTGGAGGAGTCAGACTTTGATGACATCAGTATCCACAGTGCCTCGGTGCTTTCTGATACCTCAGGGGCTGCCACCAAGAAAAAGGCCCGGCGTGGGCGGAAAAAAAGGAAAAGTATGTTTACTATTTACTCTTTCTGAGCTCTGGTGTGTGCTTTTCTCCCCCTGAAAAATCCCACAGAAATCTCTCAAAGCCAGACTGTTTGATGACGGGTAATGAGGTAATTAAAAAGTACTTTTTAAAAGCTGTGTTTATTTTGGCAACGCAGGAGAGGTGATCTTTTACAGCAGCTGTTGCTCTAAAACTCATGGAGTTTATTCAGATTTAGAGCCTGATCAGGGTTGAGTAGCTTCGTTTTCGTCAGAACTTAAACAGTTCTTTTGCTTTCCGTAGAGGAGGATGGCGATGGCTATGAGACGGACCACCAGGACTACTGTGAGGTTTGCCAGCAGGGTGGAGAGATTATCTTGTGCGACACCTGTCCACGGGCTTACCACCTGGTCTGTCTGGACCCTGAGCTGGAAAAAGCACCTGAAGGAAAATGGAGCTGTCCACACTGTGTGAGTACATCCATTCATTTAAAGTTAAAGTCCCAGTAGTTGTCACACTGGTGTGTGATGTTTGTTCTCCACATTCGACCCATCACCTGGGGGAGCGGTGAGCTGCAGACACGGAGGCGTTAGGTCCCATTTGTAAAGTCTCTGGTACGACCTGACCATGGATTTGAACCCACGATCCCCCAGTTCCAGGGTGGACATTACCACTCGGTCACTGAGCTGGTAAACCAGAAACTGGCATATTATGTCACTGCCTGCATGCTCATTTATTAAGACAATGCTCTGGGGCAACATCCTGGATGAGCAGAATGTTGGTGATGCAAGTAGAGGAATATGTAGCCCTTTGGAATAATACAGGTAGACAGGATATTTCATCTGCACCATCCTCTGTCTGCTAGTACTGAATCATTATTTAGATGTGGTCCTAAATGTCTTGTTTTGTATTTATCTCATCATTCATTGCACCCATTTTTTCTTGCATCTCGTGAGCATCATTGTTAGCAGTATATAAGCTCTTGATTTCCTGGATGAAAGCTGAGATTGGTGTTTGGGTCCAGTCTAATCAGCAAGTGTCGTTTCAGACTTAATTTGAGTACAAAGTGACATATCCATCCATCCATCCATCCATCCATCCATTTATTTTCTGAACCCGCTTGTCCATGTAGGGTCGCGGGGGGCTGGTGCCTATCTCCAGCGGTCAATGGGCAAGTAGGCGGGGTACACTCTGGACAAAGAGCCAGTCCATCCCAGGGCAACACAGAGACACACAGGACAAACAATGAAGCATGCACACACACACTCAGGACAATTTAGAGAGACCAGTCAACCTGACTATCGTGTTTTTGTGGGAGGAAGCCGGAGTACCCGGAGAGAACCCACGCATGCACAGGGAGAACATGCAAACTCCATGCAGAAAGATCCCAGGCCGGGAAGCGAACCCGGGACCTTCTTGCTGCAAGGCAACAGCTCTAACCACTGCGCCACTGCGCAGCCCTCAAAGTGACATAAATAATGTTAATTCATTGTTTTTAAAGGCATGGGACTCAGAGAAATCATGTAATAATCGTTCTTTATGAAATTCAGTCGGTCACTCTGAGTTTCACATGCACGCTGAATGTGAAAACATTCTCCAGCCCCCAATTCTTGCATTAGCTGCAAAAAGGAAACTGACAATTAAACGATTGGGTCAGAAAAAGCCAGTCTCTTACATGTCACGGGGGAAATTCATGGCCCCGCCTTGGCTTAGGACTGCCCCCAGGAAGGAGAGAGCAAAGTCCATCCTGACTATCCATCCATCCATTTTCTGAACCCACTTTGTCCACGCAGGGTCGCGCGCCGGGGGGTGGGGGGGGCTATCTCCAGCGGTCAACGGGCAATCGGGTGGGGTACACCCTGTACAGAGAGCCAGTCCATTGCAGAGCAACACAGAGACACACAGGACAATCGATCAAGCACACACACACTCACACCTAAGGACAATTTAGACAGACCAATCAACCTAACAGTCATGTTTTTGGACTGTGGGAGGAAGCCGGAGTACCCGGAGAGAACCCATGCATGCACAGGGAGAACATGCAAACTCCATGCAGAAAGATCCCAGGCTGGGAAGCGAACCCAGGACCTTCTTGCTACAAGGCAACAGCTCTAACCACTGTGCCACTGCGCAGCCCCGTCCTGACTAGCAGAAGCTAACTGTTAGCATTAACAAATCCACAACATAGCGTCACATGTTAATGCTTGTGATGTTTGTGGAGATAAAACATCAATGTTGCACTTTTTACCCAAGAAAGACGAGCGACTGGAAGCAGCAGAACAGTCCTGTTGCTGTCAGCCAATCAGAGGCCAGTAACGGCCAAAATCTAGACGTTTAGCCCACCACCTTATTTAGATGCTGGAATGTCATTAATAACGTGAGCTGATGCACTAAATGTCTGCAGCTGAATCTGTTTTTGAACACTAAATTAAAGTTAAAGCACTGGTCAATGTTTAAATCAGACATCCAACTAAAGTCAAACAAATCAATTACCCAACCAACAATTAATTATTCTCAACGGGTTCTTACAAATAAATTGTAGTTAAATATTAATGTTAGAACATTTCAGATGTTATTCAGGAACATAAATATACCTTTAAATTCTGCAGCAGCTCCAGGCTGTCCTGGGATGTGCCTGACTTTAAATCGACTTTACTAAGGAGGAATGTCGGCCGATGCCGATTATATAAAAATATCAGATATCGGCCAGCTGATACATCGCTCTGCTCCTAGTTAAAACATTGTTAAGAGGCATGAAGATTGTCTAGAAGCTAGCTTGTTTTGTAGATTTGCTGCAGCCAGCTGTCTAGATCAGACCGGTTTTCTCCATGAAGGTTTTTGTCACCAAAGAAGTTTACCCTCGTCAGAGCAAACAGTTGCCAGCTGTTTCACGAGATATTTAACGCTTGAATGAATTTATGAAACAGACCGTGCTCTAGAACGTTTGACTTGAGCACAAAAAATCCTCCAAGCTTTGTTTAAAAAATGCACTTTAATATTTTTATGGAGCAATAAAAATAGCTTATCTAGACAAAGTTATGTTGGCGCCGCTTTATTTAGTGGCTTTCCTCACGAGAAGGAACGTGTTGCATTTTGTTTTGTAACCTGTTATCTTCAGGAGAAGGAGGGAATTCAGTGGGAGGCCAAGGATGAGGAGGAGGAGGAAGAGGAGGCTGCAGGTGAGGAGGAGGATGACCACATGGAGTTTTGCAGAGTGTGTAAAGATGGAGGAGAGCTCCTGTGCTGTGACACGTGCCCTTCGTCCTACCACATCCACTGCCTGAACCCACCTCTTCCTGAGATCCCAAACGGGGAATGGCTGTGTCCTCGCTGCATGGTGAGCTCAGTCCAGATATGTTTAATGCTCTGTATCCTCACAAGCTGGTGTTCATCAACGTTTAGTCCTTTTTTGCTTTGGTTAAGTGGTTTAAACAACATGCATTACTTCTGTTCTTGCTCAGTGTCCTCCTCTCAAAGGAAAAGTTCAGAAGATTCTGCACTGGAGGTGGGGAGACCCTCCGCTGCCGTCGGAATCTCCTGCACATCCTGTTGGCAAGCTGCCTGATCCCATGGCCAAGCCCCCCCTCAAGGGCCGCCCAGAGAGGGAGTTCTTTGTAAAGTGGGCTGGCCTGTCGTACTGGCACTGCTCCTGGGTCAGCGAGCTGCAGGTGAGACGCCAGAGGTGGAGCCGGTTTCCAAAACCAGCATTTAGCAACAGTAACGATCTGTCTTCTGTGATGAATGTGGGACACAGGAAAGTCGGGGGGTTACTGAACATTATTTGGTATTTTAGGTTTTCACAAAAACAAACATCTAGTTTCAGGAGCAAAAGTTACTCAGTTTAGTCACTGACTGTCCTATTTCCAAAGTAGAATGCAATACAATTTCTCTAAAAAATATCATTTTCTAATGAATCTGTTAAGGGCATACTATGCACATTTTTCACATTTTAGGCATTTTCTTGAGCCAGTATGTGCTAAAATGACCCTTTACAGGGTTAATGAAAGGCCATGCTGACCCCCATGCCCTCTGTGGCCAGAACGCTGCCGTGCAACCTCAGAGTATCTGGACCGGTCTGTTATGGGCCATTCCCATCTGTACCGGGTCGGCCCGGGCTGGGTAGCCCCAGTCGGCCCCAGCCTGGCCCGGTTGATTCCACACATCCTTGTCTTAAGCCCATGTGGGCTGATTCTACCCACCAATCAGAGGCTTGCTCTAATGGAAGGTGTGGATTTGCTGTCAGCAGTGGGTGTGTCGGCCCTGGTCGGCCTGAAGCAGACCCCCTCGAGAAGAGGGCTGAGAATGAGCCTTGGTTGGCCCGGAAAAATACCAGGCCGCCCAGATATGTAAACAACCTACGCTACCCGGCCCGGGCCGACCCGGTACAGATGGGAATGGCCCATAAGTCAGTAGTAAAGTGGAGCTGACACGCTAGTGCTGAAGTCTGCTTCCAGGGCATTTCCTGCATGTTGTAGATCATCAACACAGCTGATTTGTTTGAGTTGGTGATGAATCACTCCTGTAGAAGCTAATGAAGGCTGAGGAGACATTTCAGCAGTTAGATTAAGATGTTTTATGAGATGAACGCACAGCAAAGAAGAGTTTCACTTTTGGTTCTACGACAGTAAATGATTAAAGGACTCTACGGGGTGCTAAAAGCAAACTAAATCTACTGAACGTGGCTTTAAGTAGGAGTTTACCTGACCAGAATCGTCTGTGTGTGTGCGTGTGCGTGTACGTGTGTCTGTGTATTGTGTGTGCGTGTGCGTGTGTTTGGGGTCGTGCAGCTGGAGCTTTACCACACGGTCATGTATCGGAACTACCAGCGCAAGAACGACATGGACGAGCCCCCGCCATTTGACTACGGCTCCGGAGAAGAGGAGCTCAACAACGAGAAGAGGAAGAGCAAAGACCCCCAGTACGCTGTGATGGAGGAGCGCTTCTACCGTTACGGCATCAAACCAGAATGGATGGTTATCCACCGGATGGTGAACCACAGGTGCCTGCTTGCACTCACTCTCAAAGTTTGTCATCATTTAAATGAGGAATAATTATTATTGTAAAGGAACCACAATGTTTACATTTAGTTATTTTCTTTTTCTTGTTTTCTTCTTAGTCATGTAATCCCAAACATTCCAGTCCCAACATAAAAATCTTGTCTCCTCTGTAGTTTTGACAAAGATGGTGATGTGCATTTCCTGATCAAGTGGAGAGACCTACCATACGATCAGTGCACGTGGGAGATGGATGATTTTGACGTTCCGGAATATGAAATACATAAATCGTTATACTGGGACCACAGGTAGCGACATTCTGCAGCTTTTACCTTTACTGTCAGCCCTCTCATCTGTTTGAGTCGCTGAGTCCTGCCATCCAAAGAAACTTCTGCACTTGTTTTTCAGAGAGCAAATATTAGGAGAAGACCAGCGCCCTCTGGTGGTCAGGAAAGGAAAGAAGCAGAAAGAGGACTACCCAAAAAGAGAAGTCCCTCCGGATGCTCCTATCATAGATGTGAGGTGCTTTTGTTACTTAGGGGACCACTTTTGTTTATTTATTCAATATCTCTCTTGTGTTTTTGCATCCTCAGCCAACCATAAAGTTTGAGCACCAGCCCTGGTACATAAATGCCACTGGGGGAACACTGCACCCGTACCAGCTAGAGGGACTGAACTGGTTGAGATTTTCCTGGGCTCAAGGGACAGATACCATCCTGGCCGATGAAATGGGCCTCGGGAAGACGGTGCAGACGATCGTTTTTCTCTACTCGCTGTATAAGGAGGTGAGGCTTGTGGCAAGCTTTTATTCTTAACTAAAAATGCTTATTCCTGTAAGATAAATGGTAATATGCACTTGGATTTAGTCATTTTTGGACAGCTGATGAAGTTATAATGTTTTATGTGAAATGCTGTAACAGTGTCTTTCTTCTCGCTTTCAGGGTCATTCCAAGGGGCCGTTCTTGGTGAGCGCTCCTCTCTCCACCATCATCAACTGGGAGAGAGAATTTGAGATGTGGGCTCCGGATTTCTACGTGGTGACGTACACTGGAGACAAAGACAGCAGGGCAACCATCAGGGAGAACGAGTTCACGTTTGAAGAAAGCTCTGTGAAGTCTGGACGCAAGGCGTTTCGTATGAAGGTGGTGGATCTCCAGGTTTTCTTTCAGACTTTAATCCACAGATGGGTGTGGTTGATGTGACAGCAGCTTTTTTTATTGGCTACTTGCAGAAAGACACACCTATCAAGTTCCACGTGCTGCTGACATCCTACGAGCTGATCACTATCGACCAAGCCATTCTGGGCTCCATTACCTGGGCCTGTCTGGTGGTAGACGAGGCCCACAGACTGAAAAACAACCAGTCCAAGGTGAAATTGTGTGTGTGTGTGTGTGTGTGTGTGTGTGCGTGTGTGTGTGTGTGTGTGTGTGTGTGTGTGTGTGTGTGTGTGTGTGTGTGTGTGTGTGCGTGTGCGTGTGTGTGTGTTCTACTAGCAGGAGTTTAATTATCTCTGGGTCTTGTTCATGAATGAGGGGAAAATGGAGCATGAGAGCGATGAGCGGAGCTGGAAGGCGAAGCTCTCGATTTACTGGTCGTTCTACGTTCCTACCCTCACCTATGGTCACGAGCTTTGGGTAGTGGAGGGACTATGCCTGGGAACATCTTGGGATTCGCCCGGAGGAGCTGGCCCAAGTAGCTGGGGAGAGTTACGTGTGGGCCTCTCTGCTTAGGCTGCTGCCCCCGTGACCTGACCCAGGATAAGCGGAGGAAAATGGATGGATGGTTCTACCTGCAACAAGACATCTCACTTAATTTACTAAAGCATAGATATAAACAAATAAAAGGCAGAGGGCTTTTGATGATTGAAAATTTTAATTGTATTCACTGTTCTGAGTGTTTTTAACTCAGTTTTTCAGAATCCTCAACGGCTATAAGATCTACTACAAGCTGCTGCTCACTGGAACTCCTCTGCAGAACAATCTGGAGGAGCTGTTCCATCTGCTGAACTTTCTAACACCAGAGCGCTTCAAGTAAGTGTCCCCCGTTTCAGCATCTGTCTCTTTCATCCTGTCGTCCTGCAGCCGGCTGACCGTCTTTGGACTAGATGCACAGAGAACAGATACGTTTGCAGAAGATCTTCATTTATAGCTTGGCTCCTGTGTCACCTGACTGAACCTTCATATCCTAACCGCTTCCCTCTCACATGCTTCTCAGTCGTGTGCCATGGAATAAAATATCCTCTGCTAAAAAACTCTTCAGATTAACCCTGAAGTAGATGCGCTGCAGCATTTCTGCAACATGTTGCCTTCCATGCAAACACTCACACACCTTTGTGATGTGTGATCCCAGCAACCTGGAAGGCTTCCTGGAGGAGTTTGCTGACATCTCTAAAGAGGACCAGATAAAGAAACTCCACGACCTCCTCGGACCTCACATGCTCAGGAGGCTGAAAGCTGATGTCTTCAAGAACATGCCAGCCAAGACTGAGCTCATCGTCCGAGTGGAGCTAAGTCCCATGCAAAAGTAAGAATATTCTGAGTGGGATTTCACAAGTGTGTGTAATCCAATTGATTTATATTGATTTTAGAGCAAATTGGACAATTTGTGTCCAAGTGGTTAAATGCTACTAGCCTGCAAGTTATAAGAAGCATGCACCAAACACATTCCTGTTGATTTCTGATCTGCTGCAGGAAATATTACAAGTTCATCTTGACACGTAATTTCGAGGCTTTGAACTCCAAAGGTGGAGGGAACCAGGTATCCCTGCTCAACATTATGATGGACCTTAAAAAGTGCTGCAACCACCCCTACCTGTTCCCCGTGGCTGCTGTGGTAAACCTCTTCACGCCCCTTTAGTGGATCTGCACACGCGTTCAGACACTCTTAACGACGAACCCTTTCTGTGAAGACATCACTCTGAACGTCTGGATGTACCTTTTGTGTTGCAGGAGGCTCCTGTTTTACCCAATGGTTCTTATGATGGTAACCTGCTGGTGAAGTCCTCAGGAAAACTGACGCTGCTTCAGAAAATGTTGAAGAAACTGAAAGACGAAGGACACAGAGTTCTGATTTTCTCTCAGGTAATCTGGTTCTTGATATTTGTTGACTCTGATGGTTTAACTTATCCCATGCACCATCATGATAACAGATGACGAAGATGCTGGATCTGCTGGAGGACTTTCTGGAGTTTGAGGGTTATAAATATGAACGTATTGATGGGGGGATTACTGGAGGCCTTCGGCAGGAAGCCATCGATCGCTTCAACGGTGAGTTTTTCTGTCGGGGCCTGTTTCTATCACCTAAGCTGCCACTTTGACACCATATCTTCTTCTGCTTTGTGCCACAGCTCCAGGCGCGCAGCAGTTCTGCTTCCTGCTCTCCACACGAGCTGGAGGTCTGGGCATCAACCTGGCGAGCGCGGACACCGTCATCATCTATGACTCTGACTGGAATCCGCACAATGACATCCAGGTGTGGGTTATTAACAGGAAACGAGTTCTGCTCCAGAGCTTCGATGTTTCCCTTCAGTTGTTCCTCTGTTCTCACAGGCTTTTAGCAGAGCCCACCGAATCGGACAAAACAAGAAGGTGATGATCTATCGCTTCGTGACTCGGGGCTCGGTGGAGGAGAGAATCACTCAGGTGGCAAAGAGGAAAATGATGCTGACTCACCTGGTGGTGCGGCCTGGCCTGGGCTCCAAAACGGGCTCCATGTCCAAACAGGAACTGGATGACATCCTCAAGTTTGGAACTGAGGAGCTATTCAAGGATGAAATGGAGGCAGCACGAACAATGGGTACGAACTCACTCACACCTGGAAATTTTAGTGCCTTAGAAACAAACTGGTGTGACTATTTAGAGCCCAACAAAACACAAATTTGCATTACTGTATGTTACTGGTTTTACTTAATTTATGCTAATGTTTTGTGATTACGCATGAACTCCTCATCTCCAGGTGATAACAAAGATGGTGAGGAGGGAAATGTCATTCACTACGATGATGATGCCATTTCCAAGCTGCTGGACCGAAGCCAGGATGCCACGGAGGACACGGAGATCCAGAACATGAACGAGTACCTGAGCTCCTTCAAAGTGGCCCAGTATGTGGTGAAAGAAGAAGACGGAGAGGTAAGACCAAAAACATACCACCCTCTTACTCTTAAGCCAAATTCTCATTATTTTCTAGCCCTTTAAAGGTGACCTAATCAAGATTTTTACAGTGAAATAATAACAAAACCATCTAATGTCTCAATCATGTTGGAAGGAAGGTTACGCTGAAAGACATTTCATCCTCAGCCAGCTGGGGGTGTTGTCAGTAGCTGCTGTTTACACTCTGTTTGCGAGGTTGTGGAGTCTGTGCAGAGCGACCGCTGCAGCGCCGGCATTTGTAATTCGACACCAGCAGGCAAGACGCCTCAGAGTTGTTTAAAGAACCAAAGCAAACAGGAGCGACCCAGAGGTTGTTTCTAAGAAGTCTCTGCATCTTTGTCTTCTATTATAATATTGGGTGAAGAAGTCTAGAGGCTAATGTTTAGCTAACCATGCTAAGGGCCGTGATATACTTGTGGTTTGAGCTTGCATTGGTGCAGGCAGCAGGCTGTGTCTTTGTTCACATACCTGCTGCTGCACAGCACTGTACTACACGTAGTACTGGGGTGTGCCACTAGGGGCACACTAGACTACTCAGACCGGACAGAGAGCCAAGTTTGTGGGCACAACCAAAACAAACGTGGCGTTGTAGCAATTACCGTATTTTTTGGACTATAAGTCACACTTTTTTTTCATAGTCTGGCTGGTCCTGCGACGTATACTCCGGAGCAACTTATATACCAAATTATGTATACCGCGCTGCTGCAGACCGACTCCGGACCAGGAATAAGCTCCTCTGCCCCGCCATCACCTGCTGGAGAATGTGGCGCGCTGCTGCGGGCCGGGCAGCTCCGACCCATGAATGAGCTTCCCTGTCCCGCTGGGAGGGTTTCAAACACCGACATCATCTGCTGCAGCCTGTGGCGGGGTGCTGCGGGCCGGCTGCAGCCCAGAAATGAGCTCTCCCCACTCACTGGGAGGGTTTAAAACACCGCCATCTTCTGCCGGAGACCGTGGTGCGCTGCTGTGCCCTGGTTGTTTATTCTGTTATTGTTACCAGTACTTGTCTTGCAATGTGAAATGCTTGGTCTCAGATTTTGTAAGAAAAATAATAAAATTTCCCCCCAAAATGTGACTTATAGTCCAGTGCGACTTATATATGTTATTTTCTTCTTCATTATACATTTTATGGCTGGTGCGACTTATACTCCGGAAAATACGGTAATACATATTAATTATGACCAATAAGATGTGATAGTCCATACAAATATGAAATATCAACCTGATTGAACTTTGAATGTTTAATCAGAAGATTCTAGGGTTCTTTGCTTATTCAGGGACCATAAACACACTTCGCATTAATTCAGACAGAGTCACCATATTGTTTATAAATGAATTTAATTATTTTTCCTAAACTAATGACACATGACAAGATATGAATAATGAGAGGTGGTGTGGTGGATGTGAGGTGTTGTGATGGAAGCTAGATGTTGTAGCAACCGTTCTTTGTATCAGAGAGAAAATGTGAAATCTGGGTGTAAAAGGATTTGTTGTTTGTTATAAACTAGAGAGTTGTTTATTTATAAACCTCATCAGACACCAGTATGCAGGCTTACGATACCCTGGTACAAGTTGCTCCCGGCGGTCCGGAGGGTTGCGGTCAGAGTGGTGAGGTCACCGGACGTCGAAACCACAATACTCAGAGATTAGTAGCTTCCTCTGAGTTTGGCTTGCCCGGCCATGAGATGCAACCCGGGGTCTGCAGATTAGGTGTCCAAGGTGGACGTCTGAGTTGAAGTAGCTCTGATAAGCTGTTGTGTCTGTAATCACTTGCAGCGTCGCAGAAAGGTTTTGACTTCAGGTCAAATGAGTTTGTTTCAAAAGAGGCTTCTTTCCCGATTTGGCTGAATCGGGGCTCAGCTGGAAACTGAATTACTCTGGAAGTAATTCTTGTTTTATTAAACTACTTTGTTATAATTTGTGGTGTATTCTGGCAAATCAGAATTTGACACGTTTCTGAGTATTTACCAACATCCCTCAGAAAGCCACGCCTTCCTGCAGATACAAGATGTTTTTAACCTTAATATGTATGGGGAGAAAAAAGTTTCAAAAGATCTGTGCATGTGTGTCTAAATTTGTGCGTGTGTATCTAGATTTGTGTGTGAGTGTGCGCGCATGTGTGTGTACGCGTGGGGGGGGGGGGGGGGGTCTTGTTCTGTGTGAAAACAAAGCAGTACAAGTGATAATGCTGCAGGATTTCATCATTTTATCCTTCTCAGCAGCAGCACTGCAGGTGCTCTCCATGTCCAACATGTGCGTAAGCCAGGTCCTTAGTCAGCTTAAAGTTGCACACATTTTTCTGCTAAGTTTTCTTTCATGAATCCCAAAGTTTGCGTGGAAAGTTGCTTACACAGTTTTCCAACCCCATTTTGTGCGTAAGCAAGCTTGATAAATGAGGCCCCTGGTAAACGCGGACAAAACTACAACACACACAGATCAGTTTACAAGTACAAAAATCCTTTTGAGACTATTTTCACACCTGACTGATTTGTGTGTACATGGTGCATTTGAATGCTTGGTGGAAGCTGGGAAATTTGATTTTCCTTTGTGATTAGTCTAAATTTGTGTTGATGGGACAAATATGTTTTTCTGTGGAAAAAGATAGTATCTCAGGATCTTGTAGTTATAAAAGATAGACCAACATTTAATTTTTAATCATCTAAAAATGTAATGTGTTTGTGAGCCATGAAAACGTAGTCAAAGGTTTAAAAGAAATGACTAATAAATAGCAGAGTAACTCTCTGACTAGAAAAAGCAGGCTTCAAACCGGGAGAATGCACAAGAAGACGGTACAGCGTCCTGGTGATCTTTCCTCTGAAGTAAGTGAAAGTAAATCCAGCATGCTTTGCAGTCAGGCTATAATGAAACAGCTATTATTTTAGACCATTTTATATGTTTTATAGGTCTGAAAGATTGACACACTGTCCCCAGACAAGGAAGTAGCTCTTGGGCCAGTTCATGTGTGTGCACAATAATGAAAAATAAAAACTAATGATGGGTGTTTCGACCACGCCAGTCACAGATTTATGGTGGTTCTTTCCTCCCGAAGGAAGGATTTGAAGTTCGCTGAACTTACAGCCATTTTCCCTCTGTTTTTCTCTGTTTCTGGTTCGATGACGTCACTTTCGTGACGCGCATTTGTACTCCTGGACTGATTTTCAGACAAAACCTAAAATAGCGCTTCCCCCCGTTCGAAAATATGCGAGTTCCAGTATGAAAATGTGTCTTTAAAATCCACTGGCATCATATGTGAAATCCACGGCACATAACAAGTGGAATTAGAAAAGAAAATTTTAGCACCATTGACTTGCATTCATTTTTTCATTCTTCCGGGGTCCGAAAGTAGATGGGTGTGACTTTGGCGCCCTATGGCTCCGTACCATCTTCTTGTGCCTTCTCTCCTTTTGAAGCCTGCTTTTCCAGTCAGAGAACCACTCTGCCATTTATTAGTCATTTCTTACAACCCACTATGTTTTCATGGCTCACAAACACATATGTCTAAATAAACAATTTTAGATGATTAAAAATTAAATGTTGGTCTATCTTTTATAACTACAAGATCCTGAGATACTATCTTTTTCCACAGAAAATCATATTTGTCCCACTAACACAAGTTTAGACTAAATCCAAAGGAAACTCAAATTTCCCAGCTTCCACCGAGCATTCAAACGCACCATGTTCGCACAAATCAGGCAGGTGTGAAAATAGGCTCAAAAAGATTTTTGTACTTGCAAACTGATCTATGTGTGATGTAGTTTTGTCCGTGTCTACCAGGTGATTTGTGTGTGTGTGTGTGTGTGTGTGTGTGTGTGTGTGTGCGCGCGTGTGTGTGTGTGTGTGTGTGTGTGTGTGTGTGTGTGTGTGTGTGTATATTCAATGATTTGCATGTGTGCTGAAGTTACACACAAAAATGTAAACATAAGTTACACAAATTTAGATACAAACACAGATCTTTTGAAACATTTTTCTCCCCATACATATGTATCTCACTGTACTGTGTATGAGTGTAAACAACATTAACTTGTTAAATCAAACACGTACTGATATGTGATATAAATGGATCATTGTAAGAACAATATTCACTTTAAATTCATTTATTTAAGCACAAATTATTCAAACATTTCATTTAAACATCTTGTTCGTTCATCACATATGATTATTTAAGCATATGAGTTGTAAAATCATGGAGTCTTCCCTTATTCAGAGTGAAGAATGTTGACGTCTGTCGTTCACACCCTGAGATTGTAGGACCTTGGGTGAGAATGTTTAAATGTTTTGTCTTCATGGACTGTCAACACGCGCTGAGCAGAACCTTCTGGTTCTGGAAGTCCAGATAGAAGATGTATGCTGTAGATGAAAGGTTATTATGTTGATCAATATATAGGTGTAAATGGACCCTTTGGGATGTTACACTACTCAGACTGGACAGAGAGCCGGGTTTGTGGACACAACCAAAACAAACATGGTGCCAATAGAAGAGATCTGTAACTGGTTAATTTTGAGTTCACCACAGGAAAGGAGACAGTAGCGGTATCACAGAAGGTATGAAAGCTCTCTAAACCAGAGACTGAGTCACCATGGTGAGTGTGTCTCGCTCATTTTGTCGACTCCACCTACTGGTTACTCATATAATGTTATCAACACAAGCAACGCGTGGCAGCCAATTTAAACACGCGCTCTTGTCGTCAAACAGCAAGTATATCAAGGCCCTAACAGTGAATTAGAAAAAATAGTCAACTCTAAAAAAATATCAAGCTAATTTTTCAATTACCAACAATTTGATATTAAAGTCAAATGTATCAATCTACTTATCAACTTCCTGTGTAAGCTCTAGAGCCTTCTGGCTTTGATCCGTATCTGGCTGAGTGCTGACTCGTTTGTTTTCATACATGGACTGCAGTACCCAAAGTGGACCACAAGATGTCACTCTCACTTTATGCACCTTTAATTCTTTGTATTTCACTGACTTTGTGTTATTGTTCAGGAGGAGGTGGAAAGGGAGATCATTAAACAAGAGGAGAATGTGGACCCAGACTACTGGGAGAAGCTCCTCCGCCATCACTACGAGCAGCAGCAGGAGGATCTGGCTCGAAACCTGGGAAAAGGCAAACGCATCCGGAAGCAGGTCAACTACAACGATACGACGCAGGAGGACCAAGGTAGGTTGTGTCAGCACACAGGACCAAGCTGGTTCACCAGGAAGAAACAAACTGTACACTTATTAAAAACCTGTAGTAGAGAACAAATGGAGACTAGAGGATCATTTCTGATGGCTCTTAGTTAAAAATGTGTTTAACTGTGTTCGACTCTGTTTACATAGAATTACTCTGCTGATCTGGTTTACACGCATCTGTACATGTTCACCCTGCTGACATAGATTCACTCCAGCAACGGAAGGAAGAGGCAGCATTTTTATACTAATTTAAGGCCATTTTTCTGTGTACCAATGTAAAAGAAATGTTTTCTCTCACACAGACTTGCAGATGTTATGCCTTATGTGTTTTTTAATTGATCTAAATTATATTTAAAACACTTTGGCAGTCACAGATGACCGTTGAACACCGTAAAATGTATAAATCAAGTGAGAGAACTCTGAACTAGAGTGCTGTAGGAGAAACCCTGTAGTGGTCTGTAGTAATCTGCAGTGCCATGGCGCCCCCGGGTGGCCACCAACAGAAGCGAACGCAATGTGCTGTTTCTGTTTGATGTGTTGCTCAGAATGGCAGGATGATCTTTCAGACAATCAGTCGGAGTACTCTGTGGGGTCTGAAGACGAGGACGAAGACTTTGAAGAGAGACCTGAAGGTAGAAATACCTCCTTTATAAAGCACGTCACTGCACAAGGTTCTGATGTTCAAACTTGTAGCTGAATAGAAAAGAATGAATAGAACTAAACTTAATTGTTTTTAAGGTGGACGCAGACAGTCCCGTCGGCAGCTCAAGAACGAGAAGGACAAGCCTTTGCCACCCTTGCTGGCACGAGTCGGAGGGAGCATCGAGGTAAAACTGTTTCCATTCAAAATACCTTTTCTATATTTAGTTTATTTATTTGCCTGAATAACTTTTAGATTTATTCCATAAAACAACTTTTAGTAAAACTAGTCTAAATGTGTTACGTATGAGGCTGCTATTATAAAGCAAAATTTAGATAATTAGAGTTTAACCCTAGAAAAGCAGAAAAATCTGGAAAAATCACACACACACACACACACACACACACACACACACACACACACACACACACACACACAATTTTATAAAAATAATAATATATATTATTATTATTATTATTAGTAGTAGTAGTAGTAGTATTCATGTGTATATGCCTTTTATTGTGGTAACCAATTACTTGACAACACATCAAATATATCACCTGACCTTTTAATTTCCTTTCTGAGGATCAAACGTTCAGGCACACATCCAGGATGAATACATTAATCATCATTAACACAGAGAATAACAGCCACTGAAGCATAAATATCAAGAATCAAGTCAATGAAAAAATGCATAAAACATTAAAGGTCATTATTTTATTTTTTTGTAAAGCTAGAATGGGGATTTGAATATATTCCCATACATTTCAAACATGATGTAAAAATTATGGAATTGGTATGCTATTCTAAAATTTTGTTTAAGTTCAAAGGGTTTGGGGGGCTGGGCTTATAAGCTTATGCTTCTGCCTGCGCCCATTCTTAGCATTGTGTAAGTTGTGTGTTTGCTTGTAAACCTGCAAATGTTTCTTTGTTATATTATATTGTACTATTGATTTTAATTTCTCATTTCTCATTAAATAAGTTTTGTAACACAAACCAACCTGTTCCATCATCTTGAGCGGGTTTCTCTCTCTGAAACCAACGACGCTGTCTTCTCTGCAGCCCACAAAACTCACTTTGCTCTTTTCCTGCTGCTCACTCCTGACTTTATGCCTCAATGCCGTGCCTCCTCTTTTCAAAGCATGTTTACAGCCTCTTCTCCTTCTGCTCCTCATCACCAGGTCCTGGGGTTCAACACTCGTCAGCGGAAAGCCTTCCTGAACGCCATCATGCGCTGGGGCATGCCTCCTCAGGATGCTTTCAACTCACACTGGCTGGTTCGGGACCTAAGAGGGAAGAGTGAGCGGGAGTTCAGGTGATGCCCTGGACTTGTTTGTGTTTTACTGCCATGTGCCCATTTCTGTGTTTACTCAGAGCAGGTTAGGCTCCCAAAAAACGTTCAGAAGCAGATCACTTCACCGCTTTTTTAAGCCTCTGCAAGTAGCTGCTTCTGCTACAACGGAGCTTTTAACTAATCAGAGGGACTGCATTGCTCTTGACCCAGACTTTACAATGCACCTTAAAGTAGAGGACATGCTCTTGTATCAGAGGCATTGTTACATTTCTACATCATAGCAACATCAGCTGTTACAGTTAGAAAAGTCAACATCATTGCACCCAACCTTACAGGAGTTCGTCTCACGCTTCCTGCATGATGTCTCTGTTTACCAGGGCCTACGTGTCTCTGTTTATGAGACATCTATGTGAACCGGGCGCCGACGGAGCAGAGACCTTTGCTGATGGAGTCCCCCGCGAGGGCCTCTCCCGTCAGCACGTTCTCACCAGGATCGGAGTCATGTCGCTGGTCAGGAAAAAGGTACGGCACAACACCAAACCTGGTGCGGGAATGCTGAGATCAGTAAAAGTGGGTCAGCATGTCTGAGCTGCCTGTGAAGGATAAGAAGCAGCCCTGGAAGCAGTTGTCTTCAGAAAAACAATTTGCTGAACCGGTTTGCATCGCTACGCTTCACAGAAGTCTGCATTACATCTAAAGTGTTTACTTTTGCAGATGAAATGTTTATTATGCATATGTAAGTGGCACTCAGCTCAGCAGGTTGAGCAGGTTGTCCAGTAATCAGAGGGTTGCAGGTTCGATCCCGGCTCCGGATAGAGAATCCTGCTGTTGTGCCCTTGGGCAAGACACTTAACCCACCTTACCTGCCGGTGGTGGTCGGAGGGACCGGTGGCGCCAGTGCTCTGGAGCCTCACCTCTGCCAGAGCACCCCAGGGCAGCTGTGGCTACAGCGTAGCTCATCCCCACCAGTGTGTGAATGGATGAATGATACACTGTAGTGCAAAGAGCTCGAGTCCTCTGACTCTGAAAGACACTATAAAAGTGTGGGATATTTATCATTTATAGCATCATAAAAGGTTGTAAAACTTACAACTGTTAATTAAAAGGACGTAACTGAAAGTTTTCAGGTTTTATTTCTGTTTAAGTTTTACTGAAGTTAAAATGGTTACTTAAGTCTCAGAGTAAATCGGGTGTATGTAAGGTTTCTATAGTTGGGATGTTTGCGGAATATTAAAGAGCATGAAAATAGTCTCCCACACCATCTTGGCTCACGACTGGGAAGGCTGCTTGTGGTTTAGCGTCCAGGAAACGTCTCGGCTAGCAAAAGCTAACATTAGCATTAGCAACTCAACCACATGGCAGACTTCAGGTTTGAGTTATTTGTGGGGATAAAACATTTACGTTGCAGTGCAAACAAACTATTGGTAGGGTCACACTGTTATCCAATCAGAGGTGAGATGTCCAAGTATCAGGAAATAAGACTCCTAATCCTCTCGTCTGAAGCTCTCATCTGTTTTAGCTCACTAATGAAACAGGAGCGCCAGAGCTTTTGTTCCAACAGAGATCAACTCACAATTTATTGATTTGTATTAGAGACCACTGGAAATGAACAGAAAAATGAGTGACCTTGGTCTTTAGCAATGGAGATATGTTAAAGGGTCATAGCTGTGGGAGCAGTACCTGCAGCTTTGGTGTTTAGTAAATAAATGTGCTTTGGCAGATTCATCTAATACATATATAGCATGTCTTTAATTAAAAATGCTTGCCAAGCAAGTTTGAGCTTAAGATGAATTTTTGCCTCTACCTGGAGGCAAAATGAAAGTTCTTAACTTCACAGCAGCTTCTTCTAATTCCTTTTAAGTCTAGGAAAGTAGGCCATGCCTTATAACCGTTAAAGTTTAAAAATAACCTCATTTGCTGCAGGTGCAGGAATTTGAACATGTGAATGGGAAGCTGAGTTCTCCAGACCTGATCCCAATTGGGATGGAATTAAAGAAGCTGACTGAAAGCGTGTCCTCTGATCCCAACACCCCTGTGCCAGCCAGTCCTGTTGCCACCCAGCCTGGCACCCCCGTCCCACCAGGTTTGACCAGAGTCGTTTTTCTCTTCACGTGAAGGCAGTCGGATCGAAGTAAAGCATGCTAACCTGTTTTGTGGGCTGCAGAGAAGACAGAGTCGTTGGCGGGTGTGGCTGAGAACAAGGAGACCACAGAGCTAGATGGGAAGAAACATCCAGACCAGGAAGTGAGTTATCCTCCCCGTCATCCTCTTCACTTTGATTCTGACATCAGCGCTATGTGAGAACTCATTTGTACCCATCTCTGAGGAGTTGTTGTTATTCATCTCAGGTACCTTTTGAAACGTCTCTCAGCCCTCTGTCAACCCCTCTCCCCCTATTTACCCCCCCACCCCCCCCCACCCAACCCCAACCCACCCCTTCCCCCAGCAGACTTCCTGTGTAGAGCCTCCATCTCTACCTGAGAAGGTTGCTGACAGCAACGACTGCAAGGCCAGCTCAGAGGAGAAAGCAGGAGACGAGAGGAACAAAACCAAATCCCCCGTCACAAAGGCCGAGCCATCTGCTCACCCGAAAGAGTCTGCTTCCAAGCGGACGGAGGCGCCATCCAGTCACACCTCGCCAAAGAGTGAGCGGCTGCATGCTCCATACGCTGCCAGACTTTTCACCTGCAAGGCTGTGCTTTGTATGCGTCATCTTTTGTTTCTGTTATCCTCAGCGGACCCCTGCAAGGAAGCTGAGAAGTCCTCTGAAAAAGGAGATGCTGTCTCTCCTCGGGAAAAGAACGAAGACAAAGAAAATAAGCCGGGTACACGAGGCATGACGGGAATTCTCATGCGAAACACACAAAAGATACAAAAGCGGCGCTCCTATAGGAAACAACTGTCTGTCTGTAGCTGCATTAGAAGGGTAGCTTCTAGTAAAGCATCCTGTCTTTTGTGTAACTCCTGCAGATGACGTTAAGAGTGAAGATGCATTAGAGGGTCGGCTGAATGGAGACAAAGACACTTTGGATGAGATGGAGGAGAACAGGAAGGAGGAAAAAAACGGATTCAAGGCCAAGTTCATGTTTAATATTGCTGATGGAGGATTTACAGGTAAGATAACTCAGGTTGTGTCGTTTTTCTACCTTTGTGCATAGACTGGTGCCAAACAAATGAAGTTCGCTGCATTATGCCAGTTGTCACATTTAAGACATAATTTGGAGACGGTACCACTCACATTAATCTGGACTTTTACATCTACATTTTGTTCATGTGTCTTTCTAATGGCCTTTTTAGCTTTTATATGCTGACATGCCCGTTGGTCTCAGGTGACACATTGAAAAGCAGCATTTTGTCATTAATCTCGTTTGACTGAACTCTTTCCAAATGATGAAAACTTCCTAAATATTTGCTTGTGTTGGTTTTTTCTAAAAACTGTCTGTTTCCGCTGTCGCGGTGTCAGAGTTGCACACCCTCTGGCAAACGGAGGAGCGAGCGGCACTCTCTTCTGGAAAAATGCACGACATCTGGCACCGTCGCCATGACTACTGGCTGCTGGCTGGCATCGTGACGTATCCTTTCCTCATGTCGCAGCCAAAAGCTCAGCATCTTGCAAAGTAATCTAATCACTTCTGACAGGAAGGAGCTGCAGCAGTAAAAAAAAAAAGGCTGATGTTTAAAAAAATGTGAGGAGTGATTTACAGCTCGGCTTTCCACACACTGGTGCATCTCTTTTTTCTTTTATTTGAAGGCTTCCCGGAGCTTCTGTGCTCCTGTTTGTTTTCGTTGACCAGGACTGTTTATCAGACATGGCTACGCGCGCTGGCAGGACATCCAGAATGACCCCCGCTACGCGATCCTCAATGAGCCCTTCAAAACGGAGATGCACAAGGGGAACTACTTAGAGATGAAAAACAAGTTCCTGGCGCGTCGCTTTAAGGCAAGTTGAGACTCTTGTTTAGGAAAACGAATGACTGAAACAAGTGAACTGTCAGAGGCTCCAGGGTGGGTGTAGCCTGACTGCGTTTCTCCTCTCTAGCTGTTAGAACAGGCTTTGGTGATCGAGGAGCAGCTGCGGCGGGCGGCATACCTCAACATGACCCAGGACCCCAGTCACCCGGCGATGGCGCTTAACACTCGCTTTGCTGAGGTGGAGTGTTTGGCAGAGTCCCACCAACACCTGTCCAAAGAGTCTCTAGCAGGGAACAAGCCAGCCAATGCCGTGCTTCATAAAGGTCTGGAGTCCAGCTCCAAAACCACACCCTACGCTCATGTCTCTTAGAAAACTTTAGATGCACCAAAAACTACAGGGAGCCTAAGTCTCCTCCCTTTCCGCTCGGCTCACCGGTCCACGGAAGAATGAAAAAATTAACACAAGTCATCGGGGCTAAAAATGCAATTTTCTAACCCGCTTTGCCTTACGCCCTGGATCACACACATGTTGTACTGCAAGTTAAATGAAAAGTAATGATGAGTGTTTTGACCGGGCTGCGCAGTGGCGCAGTGGTTAGAGCTGTTGACTTGCAGCGAGAAGGTCCTGGATTCGCTTCCCAGCCTGGGATCGTTCTGCATGGAGTTTGCATGTTCTCCCTGTGTATGCGTGGGTTCTCTTCGGGTACTCCGGCTTCCTCCCACCGTCCAGAAACATGACTGTCAAGTTGATTGGTCTGTCTAAATTGTCCTCTGGTGTGTGTGTGTGTGTGTGATTGTTTGTCCTGTGTGTCTCTGTGTTGCCCTGCGATGGCCTGGCTCTCTGTCCAGTGTGTACCCCGCGTACTTGCCCATTGACTGCTGGAGATAGGCACCAGCCCCCCCCCCCCGCGCGCGACCCCACATGGGCAAGCGGGTTTAGAAAACGGATGGATGGATGGGTGTTTCGACCACGCCAGTCACGTATTTTGAGATTTATTCGCTTGTAAAAGGTCGTAATTAGCACGACTACAAGCTAGAAATCAGCACATCGCGTATGGATTGTCACCACATAAGCTCCTCCCCCCTAGCGTGGCTGCTACTTACCACATGACCAGATTTATGGTGGTTCTTTCCTCCTGTGGACAGTTTGCTGAACTTACAGCCCTTTTCCCTCAGTTTTCTTCGTGTCTGGTTCGATGACGTCACTTTGGTGACGCGCGTTTGTAGTATTTTCACTCAAAACCTAAAATAACGTTTACCCCTGTTTAAATATAAGCGAGTTCTTGGTATCAAAATCCTTCTTTAAAATTCACGGACATCATGTGTGAAATCCATGGCACAAAACAAGCGGAATTAGAAAATTGCGTTTGTAGCCCCGCTGACTTGCATTCATTCTTTCGTTCTTCCGGGGACCCGTGGTCCGGAAGTAGATGGGTGGGACTTAGGCTCCCTATGGTCTGGTGATCGGAATCACCAGAATTCCCTATAAACGTTTTGTCAGCCAATGTGGGCGTCAGAAATCTGATTTCTTTTATTTAGCCAGTCTGAACTCATAACTGCTAAACAACAGATCTTCCGTGCAAAGGTTTTTATTTTCCTAATAGTAAGCTAATCAGAAAGAAAAAAATCTGAATTGTGTTACGGTAAATTTTAGTCTTTGAGATTAACTTTAAAAATTTTAAACTTTGAGCTTAATTTTTCTAACATTGGGATGCACTGATTTATCGATCAGCGGATATATTGGGTTGATATTAAAGAGCAGGTTCACTGAGAAACCATTTTTCACTTATTATTTTTGAAAATGATTGGTCACTCTGAGTGTTTCATGCAGGCTGAACATGAAAATAGTCTCCTACACCTATCTCCTGCATTAGCTTCTGATAGAAAACAGACGGTGAAACTCTAGGATTAGAAAGTCCTGACAGATCTACGTCACACTGTCACTTAACTGTCATGAACTCCTCCTCTTAACCTCCTCTGCGGGCCGGGCTGGCGCTGCACTCCAGTTCCCAGCATGCCTGTCACCGACGCTTCCCGGTGACGTCATCCCGCTGAGCCTATTTAAGGACCTGTCACAGCGGAGCCGGCACTCAGTCATCATCTAACGATAGAAGCCAAGCCATTCTAAGACCTAAGACACTAACTCTACAAACCATACGGGAAGAGAACTTCCCACGCTGCCACATATCAGTCTCCATCCACCATTCTCTCCGCGCCTGGGTCTCATAACCACTCCAGCTCAGCCCACCGAACCTGACAGGATGACTGAGTCCCGAGTAGACCCAGCGGAGATCGCACAGCTGCGAGCTGAGGTAGCGCAGCTGCTCAGCCGAGTAGAACGCCAGGAGGCGGACAACGCCCAACTCCGTGTGGAGAACAATCAGCTGCGTGCTGTTACTGATCGCCTCGCATCCAAACTCGATTCCGTCACCGAACTGGTAGTCCAACTCTCCTCAGCCCTCCAACGACAGTCATCTGCCACTCCTAACGTGGTGGAGCCGTATCTAAGTCTCCCAGAGAAATGGGATGGGATTAAAGGATCCCCGGAGAGCATGTTGGCCGTTCTGTCAATGACTTTTGAGTGTCAGCCGGCACGCTACCCGACTTCCTGCTCTCACGTGGCTCTGTTAACCTCCCTGCTGACTGGGCGAGCCGGTGAATGGGCGGCTGCTCTGTACCATCAGAAGTCCCCAGTCTGCAACGACTATGAAGCCTTCGTGAAAGAACTGAAGAAGGCATTCGTTCATCCCAGCAGCGAGGTCGCAGATGAGACACGCCTGCTCCAGCTTCGACAAGGCTCTCAGACCGTGGCCGAATTCACCTCACGCTTCCGGACCACCGCTGCCCGTCTAACCTGGGGTGATGCCGCGGTGAAGGCTGTGTACTTGGAGGGATTGTCACCCCGCATCCGTGAGGGCATGATTGGTCACGAGGCTCCAACCACCCTGGACCAGGCGGTGGACCTGGCTCTCCAGCTGGACCGCTGCCTCCTCACCAGACCAGGAGTGAGGGCGGTTCCCGTACAATCCCGAACTTTCCCCCGCCGTCAGGAGAACCAACCCATGGAGGAACCCATGCAACTGGGTCATTTGCCCCCCGAGGAACGGGCGCGCCGTTTTCAGGAGGGACGATGCGTCTATTGTGGGGCTCTGGGTCATCCCCGTGCAACATGCCCCATACGCCCGGGAAACGGTCCCTCCGGGTCGGTGTAGGAGCTGCCTCACTCGGAGTTTCCACTCATGCAGCTCCTCATCACACCACCCTCTCGGTCTCCTTCCAGCTGAGCCAAGGACCGGTCCCCCTGGTGGCCCTCCTCGACACCGGAGCTGCAGAAAGCTTTATCGATCAGGGGTTGGTCAACCGGCTCAAGATTCCACTCACCCTCCTCGATCATCCCGTTCCCGTCACCTCAGTGGACGGGCGCCCTCTCATGCCATATCCGATCACGCACCGAACCCAGAACCTCCGGATGACCATCGGAGAACACGTAGAGACCCTTCATTTCTTGGTCATTCACGCCCCTACGACTCCTCTCATTCTGGGTCATTCCTGGTTCCGCCTCCACGACCCTCACATCTCCTGGTCCACCAGTAAAGTCATGGCATGGGGTGTTAACTGTCGCCTTCATCATCCGTCTCCAGGATCACAGCCTAGGGAGACACCACCCAAGGATGTGGATTTAACACTCCTTCCAGGATCACAGCCTAGGGAGACACCACCCAAGGACGTGGATTTAACACTCCTTCCACCCCAATACCACGATCTGGCTCGGGTCTTTGCAAAGGAGCCTACCACCAAGCTGCCTCCTCATCGCCCCTACGATCTGGAGATCAGGCTTCAGCCCGGAACCACCCCGCCTCGAGGTCGGCTGTTCTCGCTCTCCCCGGCAGAGACCCAGGCGATGGACGCTTACATCAATGAGGCTCTCCAGAAGGGGTTTATCCGACATTCCACGTCTCCTGGGGTGGCAGGGTTCTTCTTTGTGAAGAAGAAGGAAGGTGACCTCCGGCCCTGTATAGACTATCGTGGATTGAATAAAATCACCATCAGGGACCGCCATCCTCTTCCCTTAATGAGCACGGCTCTGGACGCCACTGCCCAAGCCACACTGTTTACCAAGCTGGACCTCCGCAGTGCATACAAACTCATCCGCATAAAGGAAGGAGAGGAGTGGAAAACCGCTTTCATTACACCCACTGGACATTATGAGTACCTGGTCATGCCCTTCGGCCTCTGCAACAGCCCTGCCGTTTTCCAGCGTTTCATCACTGATGTCCTCCGTGACATGCTGGGTCGTTGGGTTTTTGTTTATTTGGACGACATCCTCATCTACTCCCGCACGGCCGAGGAACACACCCAGCATGTTCGAGCCGTTCTGTCACGCCTCCTGGAGCACGACTTATTCTGTAAACTGGAGAAGTGTGCTTTTCACCAGGAGTCCACCTCGTTTCTGGGATTCATCATCTCCTCCCAGGGCCTGCGCATGGACCCACAGAAGGTTCAGGCGGTCGCGCAGTGGCCACTACCCAAGACCCTGAAGCAGTTGCAGAGTTTCCTGGGGTTCTGCAACTTCTACCGCCGGTTTATCCGCAACTTCAGCGCCCTGGCGTCACCATTAACTTCCCTGACGAAAACAACCAATCAGCCTCGCCCTTTCCGCCTCTCCCCGGAGGCTGTTGCTGCCTTCCATGAGCTGGTCCGCCGCTTTGTAAGCGAGCCCATCCTCCTCCACCCGGACCTAACCCGGCCTTTCGTTGTGGAGGTGGACGCCTCTGAGACGGGCGCGGGAGCCGTACTGTCACAACGTGGCCAGGACTCCAAACTCCATCCCTGCGCATTCTTTTCCCGGAAGTTCCCTCCTACCCAGCAGAACTATGGGGTCGGGGACCGGGAATTGTTGGCGATAAAGTGGGCCCTGGAGGAGTGGCGACAGTGGCTCCTGGGTACCCCCACTCCTTTTCTAATCTGGACTGATCATCAGAACCTCATCCATATTCAGACCGCTCGCCAACTCAACCCTCGTCAGGCCCGGTGGGCCCTCTTTTTCGAACCTTATAACTTTCACATCGCCTACCGCCCCGGCTCAAAGAACCTCAAGGCGGACGCCCTGTCCCATCAACACACCCAGGATCCAAGGCCTCCTGAACCGAGGTCCATCCTCCCGACCGAACGGTTCTTGGCCGCCCTGCAATGGCCCCTGGAAGCCTCCATCCGGGCGGCTCTCCCGGCGGACCCGGCGCCCCCAGAGACGCCTCCTAACCGCCTTTACGTTCCGGCCGTGTGTCGACAGGAGGCCTTGAGGTGGGGGCATAGTTCACGGCTCGCGGGACACCAAGGCCAGGCTCGTACCTTCCAGTTCCTCCGCCGGGCCCTGTGGTGGCCCTCTATGAGAAAGGACGTGCGTGAATACACCGCTGCATGTGACACTTGCGCCCGGTCTAAGTCCACCACCCAACCTGGAGCCGGGGAATTGCAACCGCTCCCTGTGCCTAAAAGGCCGTGGTCGCACATAGGTGTGGACTTTGTCACGGGGCTTCCCGTTGCCGACCACCTGGACACCATCCTCACCATCACCGACCGCTTTTCGAAGGCTGTGCATTTAGTGGCTATGGCAGGGCTCCCCATGGCTAAGAAGACGGCGGAGCTCCTCCTCGATCATGTGGTGAGGCTCCACGGATTCCCCCAGGACGTGGTGTCTGACAGAGGGCCTCAGTTCATCTCACGTTTCTGGAAGGCTTTCTGTCGGTTGGTGGGCGCTTCCGCCAGTCTGTCGTCAGGCTATCATCCCCAGACTAATGGTCAGACGGAGAGAGCAAACCAGCAGCTTGGGCGTTACTTACGCTGATTCGCCTCGTCTCAACCGTCCACCTGGCCTCGTTACCTCCTATGGGCGGAGCTCTCTCACAACCTCCAGACGTCCTCCGCCACGGGTCTATCGCCCTTCGAGACCTGCTACGGATACCAGCCCCCTCTTTTTGACCATCAGGTGCCGGAGGTGGAGGTTCCGGCGGCTCAGGATATGGTCCGCCGCTGCCGTCTCGCTTGGATCAGGGCTCGCGCCGCCATCACCCGGGCTAATACGGAGTACTCCCGACAACACCGCCGCCGCCACCGGCCCGGCCCTGTGTTCCAGCCTGGTGACCGGGTTTGGCTCTCTACCGCAAACCTCCGGTTTCCGGCTGGTTCCAGGAAGCTGTCGCCTCGCTTTTTGGGGCCCTTCCCAGTCCGAGATGTCCTCGGTCCGGTCGCTTACCGGCTGCGCCTCCCTTCCACTCTTAAGGTGCACCCGGTATTCCACGTCTCACAGCTCAAGCCGGTGGTGTCTTCTCCTCTCCATCCGCCTCCGGCCCGGGTGCCGACGCCCCGAGATGTCGATGGGGACCCCGTCTACACCGTCCGCAAGATTCTGGACGCCCGCCGCCGGGGCCGTGGATGGCAGTATTTGGTGGACTGGCAGGGTTACGGTCCGGAGGAACGTAGCTGGGAGCCTGCCCGCTCGTTTCTGGATCCTTCCCTGTTGGCTGATTTCTGGTCTCGTCGCCCTGGGCCTTCTGGAGCCGTCCCTCGCGGGGGGGGTCCTGTCATGAACTCCTCCTCTTAACCTCCTCTGCGGGCCGGGCTGGCGCTGCACTCCAGTTCCCAGCATGCCTGTCACCGACGCTTCCCGGTGACATCATCCCGCTGAGCCTATTTAAGGACCTGTCACAGCGGAGCCGGCACTCAGTCATCATCTAACGATAGACGCCAAGCCATTCTAAGACCTAAGACATTAACTCTACAAACCATACGGGAAGAGAACTTCCCACGCTGCCACATATCAGTCTCCATCCACCATTCTCTCCGCGCCTGGGTCTCATAACCACTCCAGCTCAGCCCACCGAACCTGACATTAACATTCATGGACTCTCCCACCTTGACTCATGACGGGGAAGGCTGTTGTTGGTTTAGCGTCCAGGAAACAGCAGAGAATGTCTCGGCTAATAGAAGCTAACCGTTAGCATTAGCGACTCCACCACACAGCAGAACTCCTCCAGGCTTGTGTTATTTGTGGAGATAAAACATCAACGTTGCAGAGCAAACAGAGTCAGTGGTAGAGTTGTGTTGCTGTTAGCCAATCAGAGGTGAGATGTTCGAATATCAGGAAATATGACTCCACATCGTCCTCTGGCTGACTTCTACGTCCTTAAACAGGCGCACGTGAGCTTTTTACCCAGAGAACAACTTTAACTATGGTTTTATAAATCACATCGGCCGATTTACCTCTTCAGTGGCTCTGATTTAAAGTCAGTTCCTGAAAAACATTTGCTTAATAAACATTCCTAAAAGATAACTGACATGTTTTTTTTTGTTATCAGTTTTAATATTTAACCCTCTGGAGGCAGGCGTTGCAGATTAGCAACGTTAAAACCTACCTACCTGGTTACTCTACATACGTATTTCATGAGCATTTTTTAACTCAGAAGTTCCCCTGAAGGACTTGGATGTTTGTCCTTTTATCAAAACTTATTTTGAGCCCGAGAGGGTTAAAATACTCGGTCAGTTTATTGGTTTGTTAAACTTTAGTTAAATGTTTGATTTTAATCAATTTTAAGTGGTGCTCAAAATTAAGATTCCAGGGCGAGATTAAATCGGTGTTTAAACACTAATTCTGGTTCAGAAAAGTCAATCAGTCTGTAATCTGAACCAGCCTAAACTGGTATCAGCAGATCTCAGCTTTACAAAAACCAGCTCTCAGAACCAGAACTGGTGCATCTCTAATTAAATATAAAATAGCCCTGTAAAATCTGTTTATTTAAAAAAATACATATTCTAGTCTTGTGTCATGTGTCATACAATAGATATTTTCATTTAATTTAGAGGTTCATCCTTTCATCCACTCAGACAGAAAAAGGGGCTGGAAAAGGAAGGGCACACAGATGTTTCCACTTTTCTTAAAGCCGCCTGGGTACAGATCCGGTTCCACGCGGGGCTTTTATTTTAGGTTTTTATCATATAAGCAGTTTTGCTGTAGGAGGGAGGAGAACAGGGACTTTCTAAAATACATTTATATGATTGTTTCTGTGACTCTTATATATTTCTCTCAGCCAAAATACATCTTTGTGGAGTTTATTCCTGCATCACAGCTGATAATTAACTTAAGAGCAAGTTTTAGTTAAACACTTTTCCTGCATTCAGCTTCCCTTTGAACATTAGATGTCTTTGTAAGTAAAACCACAGCTCCTCCTCTGATTGGCTCCTTCCTGTGCCTCCTTAGTGCTGAACCAGCTGGAGGAACTCCTGAGTGACATGAAAGCAGATGTGACCCGACTGCCCAACATGTTGTCCAGAATCCCGCCGGTGTCGGCCCGCCTGCAGATGTCTGAGAGGAGCATCCTGAGCCGCCTCACCAGCCGAGGTGGCGAGCCTCCGCCGCAGCAGGTCAGACCACATACGTTTATACGCTGCTCTGCAGCACAGCACGCTCTCTCTGTTGTGACGCTCGCAAAGATGTCTGCTCAAATATAGACAACAACAGAGTCAAAGGTGCTGCCAAAGACATACGTTCTGTTAGTTTGAGGAAGCAGAGGTCGTTTTATGTCATTTTCTGAAGAAACTGCTCTTTTTTTTTATCAAAATACTCCTTTAAGTTGTTTACTTCCACCAACGTTTTGTTCCCGATGAAAATTGAGCCGTCTCATTATGTTCCTCACTGCTCATGACAGACGGAAGCATCAGTTTCACTGTCTTTAATAGAAAAGGTCAACTAGTCTGAATGTTCCCAGCCTGATTATGGGAGCTTCTCAGGAGATTGTAAAAGATTTGACAATTTTTTTTGTTTTGTTTAGGTTTTTCCTGGCTGTAGAAAGAAAACCTGTCTGGAAAAACCTCTAATGATAATGAGAAGCGGGCTGTGCAGTGGTGCAGTGGTTAGAGCTGTTGCCTTGCAGCAAGAAGGTCCTGGGTTCACTTCCCAGCCTGGGATCTTTCTGCACGGAGTTTGCAAATTGTCCTTAGGTGTGAGTGTGTGTGTGTGTGTGTGTGTGTGTGTGTGTGTGTATGATTGTTTGTCCTGTGTGTCTCTGTGTTGCCCTGCGATGGACTGGCTCTCTGTCCAGGGTGTACCCCGCCTGATTGCCCGTTGACCGCTGGAGATAGGCACCATCGGATAATGAGAAGCAGCTATTTAAGCTGCTTCAACGTGGAGGATCGAGTTGTTGTCACTTTCTAATAAAACATTCATGCTGAAGGTTCAACAGTCTGTCTGTGTCGTGTGCTTCTCAGCCGTTCAGCCAAGGCGGCTTCAGCTGCTCTCAGATGTACAGCAGTGGCTTCGGAGGGGGATTCAGAGGACCAGGAGGACAGCCAATGGTCAACTACAGTCAGATGCCCTTAGGACCTTACGTCAGCGGTAACAAACAACACATGAAATAAATCACATGTGACATGAGGCAGGAGGGAAATGGAGGTGGCTCAGACTGCTTCCAGTTTCAGCAAACAAAGAACTTTTTTATATACAGAGAAACATGATTTTAGCTAGTGTGTAGTTTTACCTTTAATCTCTATAAATATCTATTGAAATGTTGTTGAAAATGAATGAATGATGTCCAGCCTTCGGCTTTGTGAAATATAACCATAACAATCAGGTCTAAAGTACATAGGATGTGGGTCTAGCATCTTTGGGGGACGCCATATTAGATGCCATGTTCCCTTCTAGCCGTCTCAGAGTCCTGCGCCTGTCGATGACATCACACTAGATGATTGGCTGGATGTACAACTTTAATACTTTCGAACGTGGTACCATTGCAATCAGCAAAACTGCTACACTCTTTCACCTACATCAAAGAACAGAATCGAAAAGAGATACGATAGATTTTCGCCCCATGGGTTTGCTGTAGTATGATGACATCATCGGCAGGCGCAGGACCCTGAGCTGATCCAGAAACTACAATCGACATTGCATTCTCTTTATGGAATTAACTGAAGGACCATCAACATCTGAGGAGTCATGCCAAGGTTGCATGCCTTCTGCTCCACAGGTAACAACGTTTACCATAACGCTCTTTAAACTAGCGACAGTCATGGTGATGTGGTGTAAAACTACCCTGAAATGAATGTACCAACCCCTAATGCCAGGAAATTACACAGTGTCACTTTAAAGCAACACTTGCGGGGGCTGCATGGTGGCACAGTTGTTAGCACTGTTGCCTCACAGCAAGAAGGTTGCAGGTTCAAAACTCAGCTGCTGCCTTTCTGTGTGGAGTTACATGTTGTCCCCATGCATGCGTGGGTTTCCGCCGGGTTCTCCGGTTTCCTCCACAGATCAAAGCATGCACTATAGATTAAAAATTGTACGTCACTTTGGATCAAAGCATCTGCCAAATAAATAAACATAAACACTTATTAAGTTTCTCGCTTCTCTGCCCTACTGGTTGAAAGTGGAATTACAACTGCTGTATACAACCCTGCCACAGCCTGCTGTAGCTAGCGCTAGCACCAGCTGACTGAAACCATATAAGCCACGGAGTAAAAAGATCCAGACTTCTTTTGTACGTTCTTGCTGTGTTTGTCTTTAAATTCTATTTTTGGTTCTTTTTTAAAACACAGATAAGGTTTTCTTTACCTTGCTGACGTTTCATTTGCGGCTGCAAACATCCTCAGAGCTGATGCTGATGATGACGTCACTTGGTACTCTGTTTATCCGCGGGCAGCAGAGGACGTTGTCGCCCTCTGTTGCCCGCTCTCCCCTCTCCGATGATGCAGTCCCATGCACGATCCAAAGTGTAAACGCCATCGTCTCTGTTCATGGTCCCACATCCACATCTCCTTATCTCTATAGCTTCCTTTGTCCATCTTTTGTATTTCTGTTGTTCGGTGTAAGAAGTCAGCCGTAACAGATCGCTGCACAAGAGAAAACCATATAATGGACTGGGACAACACAAGGATCATGAACACAGAACAACAGAAATACAAAAGATGGATACAGGAAGTGATTTTGTAGCCTCCTCTAGCTCCCTCAAACTAACGTAGGCCGCGCTGATGTTCACTCTGGTTTCTGCTCTTTGCTTCACCTCCAAAGACTGTTAGTTTTACTTCTAGGCTCCGCCATGATGCCAACAGAAAATAGCTTAAAAAATGTCCTTTTCTTCTTGTGCTTTAAGAAGAAGAAGAAGCTAACTGTTATCTTTTGTATTAGCTACCGGCACAGTAAACAGCTATTGCTGTAAAGCAGGTAGAGACCTCCCACTATTCATCAGTAGCTCAGGAGATGGAGCAGGTTGTCCAGTAATTGGACGGTTGTAGGATCGATCCCGGCTACTGGCAGAGAATGCTGTAGTTGTGTCCTTGGGCAAGACACTTCACCCGCCTTGCCTGCTGCTGCTGGTGGTCGGAGGGACCGGCAGGACCAGTGCTCGGCAGCCTCACCTCCGTCAGTGTGCCCCAGGGCAGCTGAGGCTACAATGTAGCTCATCACCACCAGCGTGTGAATGTGTGTGTGTGTGTGTGAATGACTCATTGTGTTGTAAAGCACCTTGGGGGGTTCTAGGACTCTACAAATACAGGCCATTTGCCTTTAGTGGTCCAACTTGAACCAAAAAACTGTTAAGTGCAGTTTCTGGTTAGTAGAGGGCGACAGAGTGCTGTCCAATGTGAGGTTGCTCAGGTGTCTGGCTCAAGAACCACTGAAAGCAGTTTGAAAGCAATATCTTATAGTGTTAAAGCTCTTCAGTGTTGCTTTAAAATGAGTTAAAAGGATTATTTTCTCAATTAACAACAGCTATACTTTGATTTTCATCATTTATGCTTACGTTTCGTGCCCTTTAGAGCACATATTGCTATCATGTGGTTTGGTAAAATGTGAGTAGAAATCAGTGGTTTGATGCCAGATAAGGTAAGAGAAGCATTAACACAGCACCATACGCCACCAAGAGAAACACCAAAGTCTGCAGTGACTTTATCACTTAACTGTATGTTAGAAACAGTTTTACTGTTCACAGGCTTCAGCTTTGTTCTGTTACCCAAGCAAGCTTCATGGTTTAAAGAAAGTAAGAAAACAGAATTAGCGAATTAAACAGTCTGAGGTCTCTAAATCGGAGTTGTTTTCATTTCATTTCAGTGTCCTCGAACGGCCCCCCAATCCCTACAAGCCATTTGGACAAGAAATCACTGGACTCTTTGAGAGATGTGGCAACGCCTGAACTCAAGTCAGGAAAACCTAGCGATGTCATCTGCATCGAGGACTAGAGCAGTGCTGTATCAATGACCTGAGGTCAGAAACTCCCAGGGATGGAATCTGTATGGATGACTGCTGTCCTTGTCTCACGCAACATCCTCCTTTTTGTCTCCTGCTCCTCCTCTTCACACAATCTACAAACCCACCTCTCTACGGTGTGACATCAACTTTTTGAGTTGTGTATCTATCCTAAAAGTTGCACTTTTTGAAGATCCTATCGTAGGATTTGAGTAGGGATTTGTTTTGTTTGTAACAGACAGCTGCAGACTACATACAGGAGGGAAACTTGTGCAGATTTTTTTGGAAGAGGACTTTCCGAGGCCTGCACTACAAACCAAAACTCAAAGGGAAGTTTTGGATTCTCTTCATTGGATCGAACTTTAATCTTGTAAAAAATATATATTTGTTTTCTTTTTCCTGCAAGCTGCAGCTTTCTGAGTGTCTGTGCACCCTTTTGCTTTGACCTGTTCGCCAGCGTCCCCTTTACACTGTGACTGTGCTGCTTTGGAACGTTACAGAAGACGAATTCAGTCATAATGTTTTGATTGTTTTGAAAGGCAGTTTGCTCAGAAATACTTTCCACAAACACGTGATTCATCCATCAGTTAGAATATAACACTGATTTTAAAGCATCAGAAGCTATTAGTGCAATTATTATCATCTGCAGGGCGCAGGTTGTCTCAAGACTGCCACCTGCTGGCTACTTGGACAAATTTAAGCTGCAGCTTCACACCGACTGCAGCACTTCTGAAGGCTGGCCTCTTGTGCAGTAAATATTGAAAGCCTGCTGTTTGTTTTCCATCACTGAGGTCTCATAACAGTGAAACTATGAACACATTCATGGACACATTCAGGGATGACGTAAGATTGCAGGCTTGGCATTGTGGATGAAAAATCAAACAGGGCAGAGAACCTTTTGGAGGGAAAAAGCAACGCAGTGTTTTTTTTTTTTGTTGTTGTTGTAGAAAACAATATTTGTGATTCTTACCATTTGAATGTTAGTACGATTTTAGCCGTAGAGCTTTGGGCCATAACCAGGAATGTCTCTGGTCCTCCGGCAGGGCTTCAAGACTCCTGAATAATGTTTTATTCAGGAATGTTCCCACTTCCTGTTTAATTATTAGGAAGAAATAATGTACTTTACGATACCATTCAGTTTATTGGACCAAGTGTTCATTTTCTATCCCTTCCTGAATGCATTTCACTCAGATGCTGATTTTTGATGTTCCACCATGATGCAGTTCATGTTCTCTACTGTGGACTGGTGGTGCGACAGTCTTAACCTACCTTTGAAGGAGTTTTTGTCAATCTTTAAAGAAACAGTTTTGCACAGAAACACTCTGAGTCGATGCGTTTACCTCTAATATCTTCAGTTTTTGTTATATGATTATTCACATTTGTCTTTGTTGATTTCACTTGAGTTCATTGTAAATGTTCTTTCTGTGCTTAAGCAACTTTAAATGTAATTTTTAGTCCCATTGGAGAATAAGTATGGCTTTAGGGCAACATGTAATTAGCAGAATGCGATCTGTAAATGATGCAAATTCCATTTCCGATTTAAAATCGTCTAAAAACAACGTAAAATAATTGAAACTGTACAAATTTAGGCTCCTTCGATTAATCACTCAAACTCTCGGTTTCTCTAGTTTTACACGTGGGATGTTTTTTTCTCGTGATCCCGTTTAAATAAGCAAAGCCTTTCCTGAAAAATTACTGTATTTATATGTCAGCACATAATCCTCCAAAACATGAGTCATTCTGTTTAATAGTGCCTTTTTTAGTTGTGCAAGTGGATACGCAATCATTATTTTACAAATGCTGGCATTTGGACCAGATGCTGACAACCAGCATGTTTAATTTGAAATATTCAGAGTAATTTACAGAAAACAGAGTTTGGGGGAAATGCCACTGTTGTATATTTACTTTTACACGAATGTTTCATTACAACATGTTGCTGATCCCATGTAGGGATTTCCATCTGTTTGTTTTTTGTGCTCAGTCACATGAGAGCTTAAAAAAACTCCCAGCCATGTATTGTTCGTGTTTGATCTTCTTCTTCTTTGGGGTTTTTCTGTACTTCCTGATTCTTTCTGTGACATTGCACCATAGAATATCAAATTCCCCACAATTTACAGTGTAAGATCTAAAACTGTGGTTTTGAGTAGTAAACGTTGTGCAGTTTAACACATTCAGTCATAATGCAGGCCTGACACAGCTTCATAAGCCAACACTAGGATGCTGAATCTGTCGTGTCACTGACATGTTGTCAATAAAGGTTTAAAGTTACACGGAGCAGTTGCCTGCTTCAGCAGCCTGCTTTTGCTAGCGCTAACAACAAGCCAACACTAACATGGGCCAGCTAATACTAAAATAAAACACAAAGTAAAAAGATCCACATTGTTAGACAAAAAATAGTATTACTTACAAGTCCACTAGCAACAAAGCTAGGTCACCATCAGTCAATTACTTAGTATCCTCCTTTAGCTCCCTCAAGCTTGTGTAGGCCGTGCTGATGAAGACGTTACTCTTACTTTTACTTCCAGGCTCCAAGATGATGTCAGCAAAAAGGCTAACTTCTTTTTCTTCTTGTGCTTTTAATTGACGATCGACAAACTAAAAATGTTAACTGCTAGCATTACAGCTAACAGCTGTAAATGAGGTAAAGAGCTCCCCTATAGAGTACCTACCTGCTCCACAAAACTGTTAAGTGCCATATCTGGCCAGTAGAGGGCTGCAGAGTGGTGTCAAATGTGAAACTGGTCAAGTTTCGAACTCAACAACCACAAATCAATGTTATAGGGAAACTTTGAAACTTTTTCTTATTTTGAAATACATTTCTTGAGTCAGTATGTGCTAAAATGAGGCTTTACAGTGTTAATGAAAGGCCACCCAGCCCCTTTCACCCCCTGTGGCCAGAATATTCCACGTCAGAGTTGCCGGTCTGGTTCTTTTTTTAAATCAGCCAATGTGCTTATTTGAATCACTACATTTTTTATTACAATAGTTATCAACCTTTAGAAATATTTTTTCTGTATTTTTTTTACCACTTACATAATATTTTACATGCTTTGAGAGGAAACTTTATTGAAATCACGACTATTTGGATACCACCATCAGATAAACCTCAAACGCACGACGACATTTCTCTTTGTTATTGTTTATCAGTGCTGTGATTTTGTTTATGCCGTTTAATACTTGACCATGACATGTAATGGGTTGCTTGAATGATAGAACCTCAGAATTATGTAAATACTTGAACATTTTTGTTTTTCAGAGATAAACTTGTGCCATAAGGATGTTTTTTTGTATAAGATAAAAAAAAAGATGAATGTCCACTGAAGTGTGCTGCCATTAACCTGCTCTGCGCACAGTAAGTGCTCATCAATCAAAACCCCATTGTTTCCCTCTGGGGTGATGACAACAAAAACACAGAACTTCAGTGAAATGCAATCAAACTGAAGTCGGTATGAATGTAACGTCTGTTTAAACGACTTCAGTCTAATATAAATATGTTAACAATTTATGTATTTGCTTAATACCATGGCTTCTAAAGCTACCAAAAGACCCTGAGAAAAGGCACCTTTGCAGTGAATGCACAGCATGTGAAGCGTTTGACGGTTCACTTTCAGAAGGTGGCTGTGTAGAAAGCATTTACAGACAATGAGCAGTGGTACGGTTCTCATAATTGTGCTGTATAGCAGCTGAATGAAAAAAGTGAATTGCCATCTTTTTATTTGTATTCTGTGTATTTGTTCAGTGTGTTTTAATAAATCTGGACTACTGTAGCAGTGGGTGATCACTTTGTACCTTTCAGTCAAGCACGCAGACATGAAGGAAGCATGCACAAGAGCTGAGTTCAGCAGAACTTCCAATTTAATTAAAGCAACTGACTTTCCTCTGATGCAGCTTCATGCATTACCTTGTTCTCCGTGTCCCCCAGCTCTGCTTGTCACTGGAGACACGAGCCTGCAGAATACTGCCTGTGGTTAAACAGATATATATATATATATATATATATATATATATATATATATATATATATATATATATATATATATACACGTCCTTCTCAACAAATTTGCATATTGTGATAAAGTTTATTGTTGTCTGTGATGTACTGATAAACATTAGAGTTTCACATATATTAGATTCATTACACACAACTGAAGTAGTTCAAGCCTTTTCTTGTTTCTAACATTGATGATTTTGGCATACAGCTCATGCAAACCCAAAATTCCTATCTCAAAAAATTAGCATGTCATGAAAAGGTTTTCTAAACGAGCTATTAACCTAATCATCTTAATCGACTAATTAACTCTAAATACCTGCAAAATATTCCTGAGGCTTTTAAAAACTCCCTGCCTGGTTCATTACTTAAAGCCACAATCATGGGTAAGACTGCCGACCTGACTGCTGTCCAGAAGGCCATCATTGACACCCTCAGCCAAGAGGGTAAGACACAGAAAGACATTTCTGAATGAATAGGCTGTTCCCAGAGTGCTGTATCAGGGCACCTCAGTGGGAAGTCTGGGAAGGAAAAAGTGTGGCAGAAAACGCTGCACAACGAGAAGAGGTGACCCGACCCTGAAGAAGATTGTGGAGAAGGACCGATTCCAGACCTTGGGGGACCTGCGGAAGCAGTAAACTGAGTCTGAAGTAGAAACATCCAGAGCCATCGTGTATAGGCATGTACAGGAAATGGGCTACAGGTGCCGCATGCCCCAGGTCAAGCCACTTTTGAACCAGAAACAGAGGCAGAAGCGCCTGACCTGGGCTACAGAGAAGCAGCACTAGACTGTTGCTCAGTGGTCCAAAGTACTTTTTTTGGATGAAAGCAAATTTTGCACGTCATTCGGAAATCAAGGTGCCAGAGTCTGGAGGAAGCCTGGGCAGAGGGAAATGCCAAAATGCCTGAAGTCCCGTGTCCAGTATCCACAGTCAGTGATGGTCTGGGGTGCCATGTCAGCTGCTGGTGTTGGTCCACTGTGTTTCATCAAGGGCAGAGTCAATGCGGCTAGCTATCAGGAGATTTTGGAGCACTGCATGCTTCCATCTGCTGAAAAGCTTTATGGAGATGAAGATTTCATTTTTCAGCACAACCTGGCACCTGCTCACAGTGCCAAAACCACTGGTAAATGGTTTACTGACCATGTTATTACTGTTCTCAATTGGCCTGCCAACTCTCCTGACCTGATCCCCATAGAGAATCTGTGGGATATTGTGAAGAGAAAGTTGAGAGACGCCAGACCCAACACTCTGGATGAGCTCAAGGCCGCTATCGAAGCATCCTGGGCCTCCATAACACCTCAGCAGTGCCACAGGCTGATTGCCTCCATGCCACGCTGCATTGAAGCAGTCATTTCTGCAAAAGGATTCCCGACCAAGTATTGAGTGCATAACTGAACATAATTATTTGAAGGTTAGCTTTTTTTGTATTAAAAACACTTTTCTTTTATTGGTCGGATGAAATATGCTAATTTGTTGAGATAGGAATTTTGGGTTTTCATGAGCTGTATGCCAAAGTCATCAATATTAGAAACAAGAAAAAGCTTGAACTACTTCAGTTGTGTGTAATGAATCTAATATATATGAAACTCTAATGTTTATCAGTACATCACAGAAAAAAATGAACTTTATCACAATATGCAAATTTTTTGAGAAGGACCTATACACACACACACACACACACACACACACACACACACACACACACACACACACACACACACACACACATATATATATATATATATATATATATATATATATATATATATATATATAACTGTACTGTAGAGAACTGATGTTAAAAATTGTTTTGTTGCATTTTTACACAAATTAGCTGATTATTATTATTATTATTATTATTATTATATTTCAGGCTTCAAAAATTTAACTTCATGTGTTTAATTATTTATAGATTTATTTATTGATTTAATCCATCAATATTTGTGTAATTAAATTTATTATATATTAATTTTAAAGTAATTAGTAATTCTATTTTTTTACAACTGTAGTTTATTATATTACATAAAAAATCGTTTATTTATTTATTTAATTATTTTCAAATTTATTTATTATGACTTAATTTATTTATTATTAAGAGTTAAACTGAATTATTCAGGGCCTTTTAAAACAATATTTTAAGTACTACAAAAACAACAAAAACAAGTTCTACTACTCCTGCTAATAATAATTTTAGTAATATACAGTTTTATTTAAAGGGACCTTCGGTGCACTCAGAGACAGCAAATAATGAATGTAAAGTTTAAAAATGCAGCACAAAACCAGCTTAAAAACAAATACACCAACAGAGTTATTTAATAAAAAAAAACAAAGGTGCAAATCTAATAAAAGAGAGTAGGTGTGGTATAAATTAATATAACTAAGCCAGAGCAAAACAATAACCTTTGTTGTTCAAACAAAAAAAATGTTTTATTAATTCAAGTCAAATAAAAGTTGTTAGAAAACTTGTTTTTGAAGTACTTCATATCCCCCACAAACACTCCACTGTAATATCTGTCTGCACAAAGTTGAAAGACTCCTTGTCAAACCATCAATTAGAAGTTCACATGACTGATCCAGGAACAGTGATTAAACCGGTTCGAGCACCTTTGTCCTACTCAGGAAGTTTTGTGAAACAGTCTTGCCCTTAATCCCTTCAGTCCAGCCCACTACTTCAAATATTCTTTCTGATTGGTCCAAACACCCACCACTCACCTCCTGATTGGCTACAGGCGTGACGTAGTCCCTCTCTGATTGGCCGGCTTTGACAGGGAGCTCTCACCCTGCTTTGTGGCGCCGTGTGGACAGCAGCAGGGGTCTGAGGAGAGGAAGGAGGGAGAAAACTGAAGAAAGAAAAGATTGGGACCGGACAGGCTAGTGGGCTGGAGGATGAGGAGGGGGAGAACAGATTCAGACAAGGCAGAGAAAGAAAGGGGTGGGAGTAGAGAAGGTTACCTCATCTAGAGCTGCTTGTGCACACGGTGCGGGAGACAAGTTGTGGGAAAGTAAACAGCACAGGACAATTCCAGTCTGTGTCCAGCCACTTGCAGCCCTCACAGGACACCGTAGAGATGAGAGAGCTGGAGCCGGCACTGCCGTGAGAGCTGCGTCTATGGGATGTTACCAGGATTAAAGGGTCACCAGGGAGTGCCCTGAAGCTTCTTGGACAAGAAGGTGAGATGTGTTTATTATTGATTATCAACAGAACACTGTCTCTGTCCTTTCCTCCCCACCGTCTTCCTTTCAGCTTGTTTGGCGTGTTGCAAAGACAGAAGCTTTGTCCAGAAGGGGGCCATTGATGGAGTGGAGCAGAGCTGGGGGGTGGGTGTGCTGATTTGAGTCTGACAGGTGAGAGGACAAGGAAATAACAGGATGGGAGCTACACTGAAGCTTCTTTAGCACCACTGTGGACCCGTCTCAGAGGACAGCAGACACAGAGAGGCCTAGTTAAGATGGCAGCAGTTCCTGAGATCAGGAAGGATGCACGGAGCTCATCCCAGAGACGGCTGGGGCAGCTTTCTTCCCCAGCAGTACCCCAGGCCTGGGCCCGGCCTACACCATTCCACTTTGACGGTTGCTTCCCGGAGCACAAAAGCCCCTCCCAGGATGGCTTTCACGCTGCCTCTTCCAGCAGAACAGAGGGGGGACACATGGGAGGAGAGGGGTGAGTGGGTGAGAGGGAGGGATCTTTAGGGACCTCTGACACACACATTAGCATTTGGAGCAGAGGCTGTTCCTGCCTCCCTTTCGGGATGTCCAAGAATTCTCCTTTTTCTTTCTTTTCAAGACGCTCCAGAATTTTAGGATTTTTCCTTCTTAGTCACAGTCCAGCACCCCCAGCAGACACCCAGAGTTCAAGCATGCACGGCTTCCACAAAGACTCCTCTGTCAGCCAGCAGCCATCCTCTTATAGGAGACATAAACGTGCACGCACGCCATCATGTGCACACATGTACAAGGCCTTGGTGGTCAATTACACAATGAGTCATTTGATGTGAGGGGCACACCCTCCAGATGGCCACTGGTTTACTGTAAAACAGTCCAATGACATTCACATGAGAACATTCAATAATTAACCAGAAGAAGACGTTTAGCGATGGGAGTTTTTTTTTTTTTTTACAGTGTATCGCTGTCACGCTCACATAGTGTCACCAAAACATGGCTTGGCCTACTTCCTGTTAGCTCATCTGATAACACATTCCAGGACCACGCTATCTCCATCTCTCTGGGAACCTACAACTATCTCCATTTACTCTTCAGAATCTTAGTATGCTGGAGGAAGAGCCTCTGAACAAATCATAACACAAAACCAGCGTGAGGTTTCTAATCTGGAGTTTGTTTTTACATTTCTGATTTGACCGGTGAACCAGAGGAGCAGCCACTGCCCTTGGTCACCCCCCCACTGTAGCATCCAACCAAAGGCAAACAGCACACTGACAGAAGTTAGTCCCATATGTGATTGTATTTAAATTAGCACTCCGTGTTCCCTGCTGCAATCCTTAAAGTGATCATTTTCTCCTGCAGCCAAATCAGGTTGGAGTTTAGAAGAAGAAACTTGTGCAGGAGAGGAAGTTGGCAGATATTCAACACGCCAACTTTTCCTTTTCAATATGCATCACATTGTGTCCTGCAAGTCGCAGTGCGTCTGTATATAAAGGGAAGTGATATTCTGCCCTTTCCTGCATCCTCCTGTAGTTCTCTGACAGCTGAAGAGTTGAAAGTAACCAGCTGCAAGCAGAACAAGACAGATCCTGTTCTCTTTAACTTACTTCCAGCTTACCTGTTCTGCTAGTTTTCAGTGACTAAAAATGAAATGAACAACCCTATTTTAACATTTTTAATGCAGAAGATAAATTAGAAACACATAATGCTTTTAAAATACGATCAGTCACACCCAGTTTCACGTGCATGCTGAATGAGAAGATGGTCTTCAATCCCTGTCATCCACACTAGCTGCTGAAAGAAAAGAGGAAAGGGAAACACTCAGGTCAGAAAAAGCCTGTTACAGGGAAATATTATGGACTCACCCATCTTGACTCCAGATGGGGAATGCTGTTTTTAATTTAGCATCCAGGAGAGAGCAGAGCTCATCTCGGCAAGTAGAAGTTAACCGTTTGCGTTAGCAACTCCACAACATGGTGAAAAACATTTAGGCTTGTGTTATTTGTGGAGATAAAATGGTAAATGGCCTGTATGGCCTTCTCGGCTTCTACAACCCCCCAAGGCACCATCATTTCACCCATGCACACACGTTATTGCTGATGAGCTACACTGTAGCCACAGCTGCCCTGGGGGGCACTGACAGAAGCGAGGCTGCCGAACACTGGAAACAGGCATGCCAGAGCTTGTTCTCCACAGAAAATGACCCACAATTTTAAATGGATAAATGACCTTAAACATCTCCTACACCTATCTCCTGCATCAGCTTCTGATAGTGTCATGGATTTATCAATATGTTCATCAATAACCAATTTCCCTATAGTGAAGAGAGAAGGAGACAATGATCAACAAGTCAAACAGTTATAACTGTGGCAAGATGCTCGAGGCAAAATGCACCGAGAGAGAGAGCGTGTCTGAATGAGTGAGCATGCAGAGAGGCATAGAGCAATACATTTACATTCAGTTGATTGAGTCCATGATCAAGAATTAATAAACATGAATTTTTCCATAACAGATAGAAAACAGACGGTGAAACTCTAGGATTAGAAAATCCTGACAGATCTACATCACACTGTCACTTAACATTCATGGTCTCACCCATCTGGACTCACGGCGGGGAAGGCTGGTGTCGGTTTAGCGTCCTGGAATCAGCAGAGAATGTCTCGGCTAGTTTAAGCTAGCCGTTAGCAACACCACCACACAGCAGAAGCTCTTCCAGGCTCGTTTTGTTTGTGGAAATAAAACATCCACATTATAAGCCGGTGGTAGTCATATTGTTGTTATCCAATCTGGGGCAAAACGTCCAAATATCAGGAAATATGACTCCAAAACCTGTCGTATGAAGCTCAGCTGTGATCTGGCTCACTTTTAGTTCTTTGAAATGATGCACTGGTATCCCCCCCCCCCCCCCCCCACTAGAGACCACTGCAAATGTATTGGTTAATGTCCTATAAGTGACAGTGTGAGGTAGACCTGTCAGGATTTTCAGATCCTAGAGTTTATTTTTTCAGTGAATTGCTTTTGAATTTTGAATGAATGTTTTCTTGTTTCCTGTTTTATTTGATGCATCTAGTGCTTTTCCTCCAGTTGACTTCCTGTTTTTTGTGTTACATCAGCTTTCAGTTCCACTTAGCCTGTAAAGGATTTTCGATTTTCATCATCCTTTGCCAGCTCGCCAGCTCCCTTTAATCTTTGTTGCTTAACTTTTCTAATTGAATTATTTCTCAGTTTCTTATTTGTAGTATACACGTCCATTTATCTCAACCTGCCTGCCTGTTCCTCTAGATTCAGTTTAGTATTTGGATCCCACATGTCCTCTCACCCTCCTTCTGTGACAGATATGCTGGTTTCTAAGCTCTTAGCACAGGCTGAACATCAATAAAAGAAAGTGAAATGTGCCTTTTATGAAGAAGAATGGTACATTTTCTTTCTTTTGTAGTTAAACCCATACAAAACTGGAATACTTCCATTATAAATCATGAAAATTACTTTGTGTAGCTTGGGGATTGCTCAGCTCGCATATTTAAGAAGTGTTCTGTGGATGAAACGGAACTAACCATGATAAAATTTCAGCTTTGACTCAGATCCTTGAAGTTTGATGTTCCTTTTGTGCTGGATGCATTAAGGCAGAGGTTGGGGGGCTAACACTGCGGGTGGCTCATCAGACAAAGCAAATGCTGCCTGTGTGATCTTTTTGCTGCAGACTGGTACTATTATATAAGTTGTGTTTGCTATAAACCGCCTATGCATCATGCCTAAAAGTGTTACTTTGACTGACGGGTAGATTATGAAGTAAAACCACGTCCTCTTAATTTGAAGTGGATCTTTTTAGAAAGCTTTATTGTGCTATAAATTACACAGTGAATTAGAAAAATACATTTCAAGTCTGAATTTGGATTTGTTAGTTTATTTTTTTTTATGTGAGCTATTGCTGTTTAAAACAAACGTGGAACTCTTTCGGGGGGGGGGGGGGGGGGGGGGGGCAATGGTGCGTGCACCATTTCCTGGAACTAGAAGTTATCTACATCCCAGCTGAGCTTCAGACGGCAGGTTTTGAACTCTTTATTTCCTGATATTTGGACATCTCACCTCAGATTGGATAACAGTCACACACTGTTTTATCTCTACAATAACACAAGCCTGGAGGAGTTTTCCAGTGTGGCGGAGTTGCTAATGCTAACGGTTAGCTTCTACTAGCTGAGACGTTCTCTGCTGTTTCCTGGACGCCAAACCAACAACAGCCTTCCTGTTTTGAGTCAAGATGGGTGAGTCCATGAATGTTAGGTGACGGTGGGTGACAGTGGCAGAGGAGTTAAGTCATTGCCCCGTGATTGAAAGGTTGCAGGTTCGAGCCCCACTCAGTTTGTCGCTGTTGTTGTGTCCTGGAGCAAGACACTTAACCCACCTTGCCTGCTGGTGGTGGTCGAAGGGACTAGTGTGGCCAGTGCTCGGCAGCCTCGCCTCTGTCAGCGCGCCCCAGGGCTGCTGTGGCTACATTGTAGCTCATCCCCACCAGGGTGTGAATGAGTGTGTGAATGGCTGATTGTGTTGTAAAGCGCCTTGGGGAGTTCCAGGACTCTAGAAGGCGCTATATCAAATACAGGCCATTTACAGTGTGGCGTAGATCTGTCGGGCTTTTCTAATCCAACAGTCTGCTTTCTATCAGAGTCTAATGCAGGAGATGGGTGTAGGAGACTATTTTCACTGACTTTTAAAATTCTTGAGACTTACAAATGAAAATGAAAATATGGAAACCGTTTGTGAAGCTACATATAAATAATCTGCGTAAAATAAAACCTTATAAATACGATTCCTTTAGTTTTTGAGTACATTACATGGTCTGACACATCAAAGAAGCAGCCTCCCATGAGGCTCGGTGACACCTTGAATAGTTTCATTGATACTGGGATGGTTCACTAAAGTAAACATGAAACAGACTAAACTGAAGCTGAAGGCAACAACAGACAGTAGAAGTGAAGGAGTTCTGTCAGGATGCCTTTACAAAGTGAACTGTT